TTGTTTTTAAAACTAGACTCATCGGTGGTACGAGCCAATTATTTTCGTCTTCCCAATTTTGAGTAAAACAATTTACTGCTTCTGCACCTGGATTCCAAAAAGCAGAGTTAAATCTACATATCTTCTTGTTTTTTGCGTTAGCAAATCTGTCAACTGTATGTGGACCCCACATGAAATCAATAAATTCAAAAAATTCCATCGAAACACCCCAGTCGTCATAATCTATTAATTTACTAAGATAATCAGCTTTTTCATTAGCATTTCTAGGCACCCATTGAACATTGACATTTATGTTATGTTTTTTACAAAAAACAAAAATGCTAAATGCCAATTCTTGTAGGTCTATTTTCATGCTACCCGACTCAAATATTTTAACACAGTTCTGATTATCTGTGAACCATTTAACAGAATTGTATTTCAAAATGTCTTTAAATGAAAATAAAGCTTGTTCAATAGCTTTCATTTCTCTCCACGTAGAACTCTTATGAACCTCATGTTCATTCCGCATCTGGTGAAACTTATGTTCGTCTACACCTACTGTACATGCCGCTGCTGCGACATTACTAGCATCTGAATAAACAATTACACTTTCTTGGTTTGTATTAGTCAGTTTTCTGCTATTATAGACTCGTATATTCTGTAACCAAAAATTCAATTCTCTCACTGTATTTAATTGAAATTACAAATCGATTCTTGCATCCCAAGATTTTCTTAACACTATCTCCATATAACAAAATCTAGTCATCAATCTGCAAATATTTCCAAAAACAGAATGCAAAGACATAATTTTTCCCGCAGCTTTTGCCAGAAATCTTGCTGAAACATGAGGTAACAAAGAAATAAAGCTTGATAACGTCTCTTCTACATCTTGTATTCTTCTTTCTGGAATAGAAATACTGAATTTTACAGAATTCCACTGTATACCCAGCCATTCGATTTCTTGCACTTGTCTGAAAACAGATTTGCTAAAATTAATAAGCAGGCCTGCATCTTCCAAGGACTTCTGTATGAAATCTGAAATACTCTCACATTTTTCATAAGTTTCAACCATAGCTAAACCATCATCTAAGTATAATACAATTCTAATATTACACACTCTCCAGTATCGAACCATAGATCTAAGGCACTTTGTAAAGACAAAAGGTGCGCTTGAAAGGCCAAAAGGTAGGACAGTAAAACAATAGTACTTATCCTTCCACTGAAAACCTAAATATGTTTGGCATTCTTTACTAATATCGATGTGATGGTAACCCGACTTTAAATCAAACTTTATGCAAAAACAATTTTTCTCAAAATATTGTAGAGCTGTTTTGTAATCCTCAAATTTGATCTTTTCTTTCTTTACATACTTGTTCAAAATACTTAAATCTAGAATAAGACGCTTCTTTTCTCGGTTCTCCGCTACACTCAAGGGGCTGACTACAAAAGGCTTGAACGGCACCTGTAAGACACAACCTGATTTCAGCAATTCATCAATGGTGTCTGAAACAAACAATTAGCCTCAGCGGACTTGTTGTTCTTCAGATACATCCTAAGTGGATTCTGTTCAAAAGAAATGTGATAACCATGCTCAATTATTTTTAAAATGTGATCATAAGTGCCTATTCTTTTCCAGAAATCTAAACGATTTGACAAACTTTTCTTTATTCCTTTATAAATTTCTGACTCGCCAGAATTAAGATCATCAAAGAAATGAATGTGCTCTTGCAATAAAATTTTATTAACATTGTATTGGTCAAACATATCAAAACTGACTAAATACTTATCATTCACTTCACTTGGAGGTGGAAGGCACTGCTGTACTGAACTGAGATGGGCATCTGGATTTCAAGTGTCCAGTCTGAAAGCATCTATAGCAGACGTCACTGGGCTGCGGAGTGCGTCTGCTAGCCGAACGAAAGGGCTGGAGAAAAGGGTTTGTTGATTGCATTGGATTATTCTGTTGTTGAAAACCAAAAGAAGCAAGCTGAGCAGAGGAACCAGCCGCGGCCGCTGGAGCTGGTTTAGAAAAAGGTTGAAATCTTGATTTCTTTCCTTGTTTGCTCTGCCTAAGGGCCCTGTTTTCTGCACTACTGATCCGTTTTTCGTCATCGGAATTTTCGGCAACGTCGTTGAGTTGGTATTCCTGGACAGTTTTCCATCCTGCTGGCGACCCATCTGCGATTCTTATGTACTTCTGTCTTGTACTGATTTTTTCTTTCAAACGTTTGACAATTCCTTGGTCAGCCGAGGATAAATCTTTAAGTTTTTCAAGTTCTTCCAAGCACTCTTCATTAAATGTGTATTGTACTTTGTTACCTTCAAACTTTAGCTTTCCAGCAATGTTCTCTTTCAATTTTTTCTTTAATAACTGCGCAGAATTGTTATTTTCTTGTTGAAGTTTCTCTGCAAGCTGTTGAAACTGAGTGCTGATAGTAGACGAAATTAACTGCACAGCGTCTGTCAAAGCAAATGTACTACTAGTACTTGTATTTTTTGCAGTTTCTGTTGGAGTAAAACTGGGCTCTTGAAGTAATTCTTCTTCGCTATTTTCCGCCATTAGGTTAGGCACGTCTAAACTGCACGAAGAGAAAGCCTTCGAATGGGGTTTACTTGTTAAACTGGTGAGAAGGCGTGTCATATAGATAAACCTGTTTAACAGGTTCTATTTCTAAAATAGCTAACCAATGAAAATTGGTTTCCGGTATAAATATCAATAAACAAACACGTGTTCGATCGACACACGTGTTACTATAACTGTAATAAATACATTTACCATTGAATAACTCAGTTAAAGGCTTATCTCAGCTTTTTAGTTAAATTTATGTTGAATTTATTACCGACTTTAAATATTGTCTAGCATCCTATTTAATTCGCTTACTCTGATTGGTCAATAGCAGAGGTCAGTAGAGTTCAAAATGTGTAATCTCACAAGACGGCGCGATAGTAAATCACGTCAAACCTAGTCTATTCGGTCAAGGGTTTATGTGGAGCGGAGTGGATCAGAAACCTTCGACTTGGGCAGATGTCTGTAGAGCAGAGTGACAATATAGGGATCACTTACCCGGCATCTGTCTGTCACATCAGAACTGTATAAGAGGTATGGAGCACACGGCGGGTGTGAACGGTCGGCAGATGTTCACTCCTCTATGGCACTTGATCCAACCTCTGGTGTTTCAGAGGTCCGTGTTTGCTCTGCTCCAAAATTTGTATTGTTTAATGGACTTTTGAGCTTGAATACTGTTCGTTATCTCCATACATTTCATTTGATATTTTGGTCATGCATTGCTTGGCGCTCTATGGCTTTTGTAATAATCACTGACCCGGTTACCTTTCAACTTGACTTTGACCTACTTCTCAGAATAATTCATAATGCCGATATATAGCGTATTTTTGATATTTAAGAGGAGAGTCTGTGCTATTTAGCATGTGCACTGCTTCTCATAAAACATTTAAAAAAAGCATTAAACTCCTCTTGACCTTGACTTTCTAATCAAAAATGCTCTGAACGATTGATGCACCTTATGTCTTATGAATTTTGAGATGCAGGGCTTCGATAACAAGTATATACATGTATTTGTAGTATATAACGTTTATGAACTCGTGACACTGCACTTTTGAACTGTTCGATATGTTACTATCACAGGCACTGGTTTCGTATACGGGGCATCCCTTCTTAATTTTGGTGCCCCTTATACGAAACAAGTGTCTGTGGTTACCACACAAAGTGAGCTTTAAGTGTACGTTATCGGTATACTGTTGTGAAATCTCTTTCTAATTAGGAATAGATTAATTAAATTATAGAAAACATAATGATTCTAATAATTTTAATTTCATTATTCATTATAGCTTTGAGGGTTGAGGAAATTCTGAATCATATTTCTGTTTGATTGTCACACTTTGTATAAATGCTATTCTATACGCAGTCTTAGTATCCGTGGATTTTTTTTTCTTTGCAGACAAATGCATAAGCTTTAGTACTTATACATGTGTAGTTATATGCCAATAAATAGCTGGTCACTCTTAGATTTATTTATACCTTTAAGGAGGGATTCTTGTCTGGTTTCTGACAAAATGAAACATTCAAAGTATATTTGGTTAAATGTCTTTTATATTTAGATGTTTAAGATTTTAAAATATATTTTTCTTTCCTTCTCATAATTATACAACTATTATTATCAGAAATGGCAAACTGAGTTTAAAATCTAGCAGGGACTATATTTTTGGCGTATCAAAAAATATCTCCTTTTCTGCTACCGGTACTTAAAATTACTACAGAACAATGAATTTAATTAGCATTTTTAAGCAATCTTAGGCTTAAAATCTTTTTCTGAAGTAACTGAAAATTGATAATTATGGACACGTTTTAGAATATATGAAATTAATTTGATTTTCCAAACAAACCACAATCTTGTTAGCTTTTGAAATCTTCCAATCTAATTACAGATTTGAGCAGATCATTTTACAAGACTATTTCTACACGCGTGAGAATGAGAACATTTTAAATATACGACGCATATAAAAATAACTATATTACAATTACAATCGATTTCACACTAGTGGATTTGTTTTTCTTCTGCTGTATGTTGACCTCAAAAATGGCAATCAAAGGGATACAGGTATTTATAAATAATTTATTTCTTTTTATATCAGATACCTTATTATTGATCAGCCATAGCATATGAATAGCAACATATATTAATTTTATATGTATCATTTACCATATCAGATTCTTAAATTAAAATTTCATAGCTGTGATCTCATTTGAAATTGACCACATATTAACCTTTTTTGCTATACTTTGGTTTGCAAACAAATGCCCCCACCCTTTTCCCCTCATGAAACAAAAAAGGCTTGGTATGATTTTGCTAAATAACACTGTATTAACTGTAAAAAGGAACTTTCTGTTTCGTAAGATGAAAGATGTTCTAAGAACATTTTATTTTCCATTGACTTTTAAATTTTTACATAAAAAAAAATGGAGTTATCTCTCTCTCTCTGTGTTCTCAAATAATCCAGAGTTATAAAAATTCAAATCTTTATATACATTAAAATCATTCCAGTATGATAACTTGAAAATTGACCTGGAGGTAGGCAGCAAAACAATACAATCTTACCCAGTCCTTTGTACTAGACTGAGAACAAATTGTGTAATAATTTATAAATTTTTTTATATATATTTATTAAACTATTGAATCAGCAAGTTTTAGTCATTTCAGGACTCCTTTTCTAGATTTCTAAATCTTTCAGAATCAACAAGTTCATAGTTATTGTCCTTGTAGTGCACTATGTCTTTGACTCTGGTTTCATGAACATAGTCATAAAGATTCTGCACAACCCTGGGAATAAGCTCTACTCCCGCTAACTCTGCTAGCTCATCATTGTACTCCCATTGTCTAGGCCCAAGGACATGGGCGTACCGTGGGGGAAATCCCAGAGCCAATCTCCTCTCAAAATCACACTCCATGTCCTGTTTCATCTCTTCTCCTGATGGAAGTTTGATTTTCCCAGATAAAGAGGACAAAAAGAATCGCACTTGAACATCAAACTGGGGAAATGGACAGATTGTTTTAGGAATTCCAATGAAAGCCATTGTGGGATGATCAATGTGGATTAAATGTTTGTACAGTGGGGTGAGTCTCTCATCTGAGATCTGGACCTGACAGTCATCGGACAGGAAGGGGAAGTGGTAGTGATATCCTGTACACAGAAGGAGAACGTCTATCTTGGCCTCATCTCCATTGTTAAAGATGACAGACTTAGAACCTAACTCCTTAATCCCTGGTTTCTGTTGTACATTGTTTGGGAGGTAGGTCTGTAAAGGGGGTTTATTGTGGCTCAAGTACACCTATAAAACAACAGCTCCTTAGACTTACAAAAAAATAAAAGTCAACATAAAACAAGAGGCCCAAGGGCCTAGAATTGTTTTTCTGATTAATTGTACAACCCTGTCATTTCTATTATAGGCTTCAAATTCTTAGTATCCTAAATATTTAGATAAAGCCTTGAAATTCCAAAAGTGGGCCACCATGACCTTCTTTTTGGTTAACAGGCTCTGAGAACCTGAATAAATCAACTGACAAAGTTTGATGATGCTAAGCCTCTTATTTTCTTGTTTAAATATAGCTATAAAATTCCGAAAAAAGTAGATCTTGATGAACTAATTTTTGGTTGACACACTCTGTTAAAGGTTTGATGATACTAGGCTTCACAGTTTCCAAAGTATACATCTAAAACAATTTGAAAAAGAAAACTTGCAAATTAAAAAGTAGGTTCCATTGACCTACTTTTTCATAAATCTTCCAAGGATCCAAGATGCATCAACTAACAAGGTTTGATGATTCTAAGCATCTCAATATCCAAAATAATGAAGTAAAATGTTTTAAAAATGATAAGCCACAAAATTCAGAAAGCAGATTATGGAGGCCTACTTTTTGGATGACACACTCCAAGGCCCCATGATGCATCAACTGAAGAGTTTTGATGATCATAGACTTCAAAGTGTCCAAAATCTGCATCAATATCAATTTGAAAATGATTACATTCAAAAAGTAGGTTGCCATGACCTACTTTTGATTCAACATAACATGAGGTCCTAAGATGCATCAATTGAGAAAATTGTATGATCCTAGTTCTCAAAATGTGCAAAATATTAAAGTTTTAACAAAATATCATTTTAGTCAAATTTGAAGTTACCTTGAGTCCATGTCCTTTGCCCCAGGGTGATGCCTTGAGCAATTTTTGATCTACATTGTATCCTCATCCTCATATTTAAGTTTGGTGATAATCTGCCCGGGGTTCTTGAGAGGATTTTTTTTAGCAACTAATACTTTTGTTTTTATTTCCCTAATTATCTCCCATTGTTTAAGGGCCACTTCCCTGTTTTACTGTAAAATGAAAGCCCTTGGCCCAAGGATACCCTGTGACAAATTTAAGAAATCTTTACATGGCCCACATTCCAAAAAGTTGATGCACACTGCACATTGTCAAATGGCCATTGCATAAGCTCTTTGAGCCTTTGGCTCAGAAGATCTAAAACATCCAAAGTTCTTACAACTTTAAATACTCTTTTCCTCCTTAAGAAAGACATTAAGTTAACAAAATATGAAAAGTGCCTTACTATTTTGGCTTCGTGTGAGACATCGATAGCGATATCCTGTCCTGATGCAGCAGCTCCGAGACACACAACTCTTTTGTTCCGAAACAGCTCAGGACTCCTGTAGTCATGGCTGTGGATCACCTGACCCTGAAAGCTTTCCATTCCAGGAATAGTGGGATACAATGGAAGGGAATAGTGCCTGAAACATTAAGATACATATAAATCAAATGTAATTTATAATTTTAAATAAATGATGGATACTCTCAAGTGAATAATTTTATGCATCAGCTGCTTAAGAACCCTCTCTACACTGCACACTAAAGAGTTCTGATTCTATTGTATTTTTATGCAGTTAGAGTGATCTACCCTTAGATCTAAATTCCAATAAATAGAAATTTACAGTATATTACTCAATTTGTAATCATTTCAAATATTCTTAACATTTCAAAAGGCCAAGATAAATTAACTGAACATGTTATTTAAATGTATTTTGTCCATGGAAGAGAACAACAGTGATTTCTGTTCTCTGATACTGTGTTGTGTTTTAACATTTCTCCTGGGGGAAAATGCCACATACCATATATTGAAAATTAAAAAGATAAGATCAAAATTTACACCTTTATTCAATATAATTTTCTTAATGTCCAAAAAGCATTTTGCAATGGTGTAGAGAGGGTCCTTAAATTTTTTCTACCTCTTTCATCATATATGTGATTAATCCATGTATTTAATTACTTGTATAAAAATCTCTTGTTTTAAAGGAGAAATACTTTTAAAAATTGTACAAAATTGTTATTTTGTTGCAAATCTGGCAGGATAACCTTCCTTTTGTGCTTCTTCTGTCTATTACCAAGAAAGTCAACAACCCTCTTATCAACATACACAATGTATATTGTTAATGTTTATATCTTCTTCAGCTTAACATATTTAATATTTAAGGAGAGTGATATAAGCTTACCCATTACAGACCATAACAGCATCAAATTCCTCACTGTGAACCTTACTCTGATCGTCTACAGCACAGTATGATACATCCCAGAATTCTCTGCTTCCCTCACATGGTCTTGATTTCACAGTGGTTACCATTGTGTTTAGCTGTCATATTAATTGAACAATATTGCAACAAACAAGTCATTGTGAATATAAATCAGTTTGAGTAATTTTGTACTTAAAATTTTCATCTAGCGCACCACAAGGACACAGGACTTATTTGTCAAATTCAGATCATTAACATTAATACTTTTGGAACTTTGGTATCTCGAACACTTGTATCTCAAATACCATGGGTATGTCAAAGTGATTTGGAAGTCCCAACCACTTATTCTTTAAATATTTAACCCTTGATATATCAAATCCTTGGATATCTTGAAGTTTTTATTCAGTCCCTTCAAGTTTGAGATAATGAGGCTCAACAGAACTTTCAGGCCATTATACCCATGTGTGAATATAGGGTTCATAGGGTTTATATAAGGTTTATTTCTAAGCCAGGACAGGACCAACAAATCATGTGTTCTGTAGATTTCTAAGCCTGTAAGATCCACCTAATCATGTGTATGGTAGATTTCTAAGCCTGTAAGATACCCTAAATCATGTGTATGGTAGATTTCTAAGCCTGTAAGATACCCTAATCATGTGTTCTGTAGATTTCTAAGCCTGTAAGATACACTAATCATGTGTATGGTAGATTCCTAAGCCTGTAAGATACACCTATAATCATGTGTATGGTAAATTTGTAAACCTGTAGGATGCAGCTTATCAGGTGTAAAGTACATTCCTAACCCTGTATGACATCTATTATGTGTAAGGTAGATTTCTAAGCCTACAGGATACAGCTAACCATCTCTAAGCCTGTAGGATACACCTAATCATGTGTACAGTAGATTCCTAAGTCTGTATGTCATCTTTCAAGTGTATGACAGATTTCTAGACCTGTAGAATTCACTTAATCATGTGCAGGCTATACAAAGAAGCCTTTTGGATACACCAAATCAAGTGTGTGGTAGAATTCAAAGCCTGTAGGACACAACTCTTATGTGTAGGGTAGATTTTTCAGCCTGTAGGATACACCATATTTAGGCATATTATGTGTAGAGTAGATTGCTAAGCCTGCCTGAGAATGTATGATACACTCATTCTGTACAGAGTAGAATTGCAAGCCTGTAGACACAGTTAGATTAGATTTCTATAAGTCTGTAGGATATACACCTAATAAGTGTTTGGTAGATTTTTAAGTCTGTATGATACATCTAATCATGTATATAGTAGATTTTTAAGTCTGAGGGTACTCTTATTATTTGTATGGTAGATTTCTAAGCAGCCTGTTAGATACACCTTAGTTACCATGTGTATGATAGATTCCAAGTCTGCTGGATACACATATGATGTATATGGTAGATTTCTAAGCTTTTAGGATACACTTATCTGTAGGATAGAACCATTACATAAATGATGGATTTTTAACCTATAGGATACATCTATTATGTGTAGGCTAGATTTCTAAGTTTGTAGGATATTGACATACCTTGATGTGTTTATGAAGATTGTAGTAGTCTGAGTAACTTTTCAGGTATTCTAACACAGACTCATGTGTTATATATGAAGGCAAAGAAGCTTGGAAAGGAAAGTTGGGGAAAGCCATGACCTCTTTTGGTAAATTTGTCCTAGAAAATCAAATAAGAAACATGTCAAACGCTGCTGCACAAGGTCAATATCCAGGAATGAAAAGGTACCCAAAGTACCGGTACATGTACTAGTAGTACCTTTTCATTCTTAGATATTGACTTTGATCTTCTTTCATTGTGGAATTACAATTTTTAAGTTCATTGTTGCCTTTAGGTTTCCTGAAACACAAGTTTATTGGGTTATCTTTTTCAACTAAGCCAACTAAAGCTGATCTTTTCTGCTATTACTTTTAAATACCTAAAGAAAATTAATTTGTGTTAAATAGGGAAGATGTTTCAATATTTATCACATTAAGTTTAAATTCAAACAGGTAAACTCTGTATTAACCATGTGTACACACACAAACTATGATATGAACTTAAAGGAGGAAATTCATGCATGATCATACATAATAAATATGATTTAGTCAAAGCTCAATAATGAAGATAGAAAGGATTTTAGTCCCTTTCTGAATAAAAATACTTCATACACATATGTCTCTGACCAACTCTGTCTTTTTGATAAAAAAAATTACAGCTGCTTATAAAATTTATGATTGAAAAATTAAAATAAAAAAAGCTGTGTATGTGAAGTATGGAGACCATACATAGCCTAACACTTCTATCTATCTTAAACAGGGAATTATTTAATCTTAGACTAATTAACAGGGAATTATTTAATCTTAGACTAATTATAAATCCTGGATTTTCAGAAAATTCTGAAATCAGGCGTAGTGCCCGAAAACTAACTTTGTTTTGCTTGAAATTATCAGTTTTCACTGTAGTAGATACTGTCTAAATGGGTAAGTGTGTATATAAGAAGCTAATATAATTGAATTATTGTTTATTTTTATTCATTCATGTTTTTATTGTGTTCCAATTTCATATTTTTATTGTTTATTTTCAGTCATAATTATTATTTCTAGGGTAAATGTCTTTTATGCAGTGTATCTGGTGTTCTACTGTTGTAGCTGAAGAAAATAATGACACATGCGCAGATGGGGGTTAGTCGATGCCTGGCATCAAAAAACGACTAACCCCCATTTGCGCATGCGTCATTATTTTCTACAGCTACAACAGTAGAACACCAGATACACTGCATAAAAGACATTTACCCTAGAAATAATAATTATGACTGAAAATAAACAATAAAAATATGAAATTGGAACACAATAAAAACATGAATGAATAAAAATAAACAATAATTCAATTATATTAGCTTCTTATATACACACTTACCCATTTAGACAGTATCTACTACAGTGAAAACTGATATTTTCAAGCAAAACAAAGTTAGTTTTCGGGCACTACGCCTGATTTCAGAATTTTCTGAAAATCCAGGATTTATAATTAGTCTAAGATTAAATAATTCCCTGTTCTTATCTTAAGGTATTCAATGTATAACGAAGGGATTTTGAACAATTTTGAATCGTTTTATACTAGTTAAAAATACATCGCTACATAACGATGAAAGTGAAATGAACCAAATTCACATGACTGATAACAAATGAGAAGCTGATCATTTTGCACCTGAAAAGTTTTTGAAGAGTTATCTGCCCTTGAAGAAAAGAAGAAAATTTTAACTTTGCCAAAATATCTGTGGTAAATGATTCATTTTATTTCACATTTTAATAAAAAGAGAGTTTATGCATATTTTCACCAAGAGATTTGCATGAAATTCACATTACTTTTTACAATATTTTAATAAAATATGCGTTGCCCATAGACGTCAATGTAAAATTTAAAGTGCAATAAATTGGACAATAATTAAAATTTTGTAAATCCCTTTGGTGGAGCATATTTATTTCATAACACCTTCAAAATGTTACCATGATTAATCATTTCGGACCATTCATTTATAAGGTACAAAATATGGTCGTTATACATTGAATACCTTAAGATTAGAAGACGCTGAAAACGGTATCTCAATTTTTATGTTTACCATTAGTCAGCCTACCAGTGAAACCGGAGGAGACTATAGGTTTCCTCCCTGTCTGTCTTTCTATCTATCTGTCTGTCCATCCAGCTGTCTAGCTGTTCCTCCATCTGTCTGTCAGTCTGTCCCACTTAATTTTTTGTATATTTTCTTTCTAAAAGCTTGCAGATCTTGAGTGGATTTTTGGTATGAAAGCAGTGTGAGAAAAAAAAAAATCAGCAACACTTGTCCCAGGAGATGAGCATGAAATTATACCCACTTGTCCCAGGAGATGAGCATGAAATTATACACACTTGTCCCAAGAGATGAGCATGAAATTATACACACTTGTCCCAAGAGATGAGCATGAAATTATACCCACTTGTCCCAAGAGATGAGCATGAAATTATACCCACTTGTCCCAGGAGATGAGCATGAATTTATACCCACTTGTCCCAAGAGATGAGCATGAAATTATACCCACTTGTCCCAGGAGATGAGCATGAAATTATACCCACTTGTCCCAAGAGATGAGCATGAAATTATACCCACTTGTCCCAAGAGATGAGCATGAAATTATACCCACTTGTCCCAGGAGATGAGCATGAAATTATACCCACTTGTCCCAAGAGATGAGCATGAAATTATACCCACTTGTCCCAAGAGATAAGCATGAAATTATACCTACTGGACCCAGGGGATGAGCATGAAATATACCCACTTGTCCCCATGACAATTTTATTTTTCCCTTATAAAGCTTGCTTTCTGCCAAGAAATAAAAATAAAAAAGATTAACGATTTCTTTATCTTTTTCATGTATATGACATTCATTTGTTCAGAGTCAATGTCTCTTGTCATATTTGGAAGCATTTTGTTTCATATTTGTTACTTTATCATAAGATAAAAAGAGAAGAAAATAATCACTCAAAAAATTTCACTCATTACCAGGGATAATCAGATTATGACATCCACTTGTCCATGGTCGAGTTACACTCGTCCAGGATTGAGTGCTTTTTTCACACCCTGGTGAGTGTACCTTGTTGAGTTACAGATCTATCAAGTTTGCATTTTGTTCTGCAGCAAGATTTTTTATGGAATTATGGCTTTTTTAATCTTTAAGGGGAACCAGATTATACTTGCTGGTACTGGACTATTACTGCTTATGCAATACTCTCAGAATGCTTACAAGGTCAATGGTTTGAATCCTGCTCATATCATGGTCATCAGATGCAGTGTTTTCCCTTTATTTCATAGTAAAGAGCTAGAGATCAATTGTAACAGGCTAAGAGTCGATGTTTATGAATAAAATCTCTGTGGACCTTAATTACAACAATTATTTTCAATTTTTTTTATTTCGGCATTTCTATTAATTGAAGCAAAGAATTTGGCCGGTAACCAGTTCTCAGGGAAAACCCTGCTGATGTTTTTGTCCACTGTCCTTGAACAGGACCTTTATACTTTTTATTAAATAGTCAGCTTTAAATAGGTTACATTCTCCGCAAATCAGTTGTGTAAGCCGCCGACGCACTACAGAGTCTTATATATGAAATACCTACCTCTACCTCATATAGTTCGAATTAACACCTCCCTCCACAGGTACTTGGGTCTTGGTTTATAAATATGTATACCTATTGATATGTAAAAAAAGTAAACTTTACTTTTTTTACATATCAATAGGTATACATATTTATAAACCAAGACCCAAGTACCTGTGCCTCCCTCGAACATTCATATTAATAGTGAGAGAAAAAAGGAGCTAGGCAGAGGACTCACGTATTTATTATACCACTAATAATAAAAATGAAGACTTAATTAGACTGGGAGATTTCACGAGGTTGTGATGTAACTGACCTGAGATTTTTGTACATGGAGGACTGGATTGGTAGACCATTCTTATCCTTTCCTGTGTTGTCCGTGTAATTCCATGTCCCCCCTATAGTAGAACTAAGTTCAAAACAAACTACACTAAAGAGATCAGGACTGGCACTCAGATGACGTACAGAGCAGAGACCAGCTGCTCCCGCCCCGATCACGGCCACTCTCTTCACTGCCATAGCAGACAAAACGAAAATGAAAGTAAATGAAGTGTCAAATAAATTATATTTCAAGTACTAATCAAATTTTTTAACTGTTTTAAAAATTCGCAATAAAAACAAGGATTTTTATTAGCATACGTTAAAATAAAACTGACACATTTTACCATTTTATGTAATCCTTATCGTACTCGAATTATTCTAAGTACGAGAGATTTTACTTTCGGTTTACTTTCATCATGGCAGTTTGTGTAGCTGTCATCGCAAAAGAGGTAATATTGTTTTTTTTTTCCTCTGAATCATAAGAAGCTGCTTCCTTTCATTTGTTAAGAATAATACTAACTTACAAAGTTAATTACGTGTCCTTGAAGCCACGCTCTAAGCCTTTTATTCATTTGCAGGAAGGAGGGTTCTACAAATCTGTATTTCCTGTGTTATTTCACCAATCAAGGGTCCTCAGGGGACATGTAACAGTAACATAATCATGATTGTAACAAGTAATGGTTGAATTTAGTGAAGCATTGCCCAGATCCTCGCATTGCAAACATTCTGAACTAGCAGAATTACTAGTATGATTCACACAATTAAATATAAGCATCACATGCAATTAGCTGTTAGGAAAACCAAAGTACTATACACTTCAGTGCACAGAACTAGTTTAATTAGCAGTAAATAACATTAAGCTGAATTAACAATCAAGTTATCTTAAAATTAATATAAAACAGAAAGGTGTATCAAATAAATTCCGAGTACACATACTTACGGACTTACATATATACTGTACACTTGAACACTCACATGTGAACAGATACATATACCAGGGTTTGACACTAAGGCACGTCTGACCGACCCAGTCTAGTAAATGAGTGGTCTGGTCGTGTAAAATGTTCGTGAACTAGACCGACTGGTTATGTGTATGAAATAAATGATAACCCTCATTTCAGTCTTTCAAATAAATATTCTAAAAAGTTTTTTATTTTCATTTTTTTTTTTAATTCTTATTTGTCTGATAGAAAACATCACCCATCGCTCTGTAAAAGAAAACTTCCCCGCATGACACAATCGCTATTTTTAGCCCAGCTGTAATAGACAAGTTGCAATGGGAACTACCTTCGTTCAGTATTTAAAATTAGTATGAAGTTATTGAATAATATATTCTTTAATTCACAATGTATTTACATTAAGGGTAGGTATTTTTATACTACGTTTATTGATTGTTCCTTAATTAAGGCTTATAATATATGTATGTCATGCTTAACCCGACTTAATGGCTAGCGACCTATGGAAGAGTCTGTCAAAATATATCTTAAGGTCAGACGACACGTTCCTCAAATATATGTTTTGAATCTCTTAATATTATATCAAAAATTATTCATAATTGTCATTCTCTTGTGATTTCTACACTGTTTTCAATATATTTTTAAATGTAAGTACACCAAAAATTGTGATTTAGGCCATTCAGAAGATTACCCAAAAGGATTTTATAAGAAACATCACCCTCTGGTATTTTGTCCAAATGCCTGGTAAGGTACCTTAATTTTTTGTTAGGAAAATTGTGTTGGTACCTATACTTCAGTGACGAATTCTTGGGAAAAATTATATATTTTTGAGGAACATCACCTTAACAGGTGCGAGAGACGGTATCTTTATTAGTCCCCTACCGGTGAAACCGGAGGGGACTATAGGTCTCCTCTGAGTCTGTCTGTCCGTCTGTCCGTCCGTCTGTCTGTCTGTCTGTCCGTCTGTCTGTCTGTCCCTCTGTCTGTCTGTCAGTCTGTCCCACTTGGTTTTCCGCACTTTTTTCCTAAACGCTTGCAGATATTGAGCTGATTTTTGGTATGTGAGTGTATCTTGATGAGTTACAGATCAAGTTTGCATTTCGTTCCGCTTCATTGATTTTTGACAGAATTACGGCCTTTTCAATTTTTACGGGTTTTCCGCAATTTTCTTCTAAACGCTTGTAGATATTGAGCTGATTTTTGGTATGTGGCTTTACCTTGATTAGTTACAGACCAAGTTTGCATTTCGCCCCGCTTCATTAATTTTTCACGGAATTATGGCATTTTCAATTCTTAACGGGAACGGAACCAGATTACACTTGCCGGTAGGGGACTAGTATTGCTAATGCAATACTCTCAGAATGCTTGTTGAAGTATGGTTTCGAAACTTTTTTACATTATAATTAGCAGTTTATAAAAAGTCAATTTTCAAGTTTGGTCAGGGCTAGTGATTTTATGGTCAGGGCTAGTAAAAATTATTGGAAGTAGCCTGACTGGTCTAGAACTCATAAAAGTTAATGTCAAACCCTGTATACACACATACAAATATATACTAGCTCACATCAAATCATACAAAATGAAATGCATAAACATGTACACAAATGTTACATACAATACACAGTATGTATGTATTTGTATTTAAGGACATACGCAACGTAGTTTGAACTTTATTGTCTTTTCCCCTGAAGTTGAAGAGTTCCAATACTTAAAGGAACTGTGTGCTACATTTTAATGTCTTTATATTCTGTTGTACACTTCTTCTAAAACAAGTTTTGATAAACAATACATCTAGAATATATGTTTAGTAATTTTTGTATATTTTTCTTTGAATTATACAATAATTTTCATCAATTGATATCTCTTCAAAACCCCTGGTAATGCATGCTGATTTTTTGTCTACGAACATCTAATGGCACAATAATCTTAAATTAAGAATATCTTGAAAAATTATCAGTAGGTAAGGTACGTTGCGTATGTCCTTAATAGTCATTCACACTTCTACATGTATGTACATCACTATATATTTTAAAAGACAGATATATTTATTTTCCAAAGAAAGTAAATCTGACCATTGGGATTTGTGTAATATTTTGAGTGTCCTACTCCAAGACTGTACTTTATCTGAAAACCAACTAAGATAGATGGGTATTTGGGTGAATGGTTCTGAAGAACAATATTATCAATGACATTTTACAGCTTCTTGTATGATAATCTTCAAAGTTCACAGAAGGTAACTTAGCCTTTTGTAATATATTTATCTCTATTTCAGAACTACCCACTTTTTATCAAGACCATTCCAACAGATAATGAATTGAAGTTCTACTACACTGTACATACCTCACTAGATGTTGTAGAAGAGAAAATTTCCTCTGTGGGGAAAAACACAAATGAACTCCGAGAACTGTACCTTGGATTGCTGTACCCCACGGAGGACTACAAAGTGTATCCTTCACAATCACATTTAGTAAATAACAACAACCCCCTTCCCACAAGCTCACATAGGAGGGATTGTGTAATGGTTTCAGATCAATCAAAGTTACATGTATTTAATATTAAATTATACACATTTTATTGTTACCTGCTTTGTGTTCTTAACTGAAATATTAGATATGGCTATGTCACAAATACCAAAGTCAAATATGTCATTGTTGTAGAATCCATTAATTCAAATTTACGGGACAATGAAATTAGAAGTGTAAGTAGAGAAAACTACTCCAGGAATGACATCAAATTTCAAATCATTCGGTTATTTACAGCTGTACTGGTACTTGTAAAATCCTGTCTCTGGGGGCTTCAGATATGGTACATGTATTACAAAACTGCATGAGAACAGACAATATAATGCATAAATATATTTAATACTGCAACATCAATTCTGAAATGATACTGTTGAAATTTACTATAAATGGTAGAGTAATGTGTTTTTCAGATGTTCAGAAAATTGCATAATGCATATGTGGATATGTTATGTAATCCTTTCTATACGCCAGGAGAAAATATTACATCACAGTAAGTTAATTTGTATAATTCTCAGTCAAAATAGCCTTTCTCTTTTGCTTGTATCATTTATACCCACATGATGGACATTTTATTTGATTTACTACAAAGGTTAAAACTCATCTATTCAATTTACTGTAAAATCATACACCTTCCATTAAAGTACTTTAATAACAGGTGTGTTTCATCTTCTTAACTATGATTTTCTTTAGTGATACAAGAATTACAGAGGCATTTGCATTTCTTTTCCAGGACATTTGAGAATGTGGTAATATCCATGATGCATGACTAGGATTGAAGAAGGACCAATGACATTTTTTTTTTTTTTTGGATAATTGTGCAATAATGATGTTTGTTATGAACAGAATGTAAATACCAATTTGACATTAAACATTACAAAACTATTTAAATCTGTACTGGTTCATTGTTTAAATTGTACTGACAGCTATACATTTGAGGTAAAGATAACAACAGTAACTATTCACAAATTTTCCGCAGAAATTTGTCCCAGCTTAACTATAAAGTATATTAAAAGCATATAGTGGCAATCTAAGAAATCCGCATAATTTCCTGTGCGATGATTAAACAGAAATTGTGATTCCGCAGATATGACCTCATGAGGAAAAAAGTACATCAACAGTATTTCGGGCAGTGGGTATTTTTTTTTTCATTTATTTATGCATTTTAATATTTGATAACTATAACATTTTTTATCACTTCTTTTCAGAAACATGGTAAACAATTCATAATTAATTTTCAAGTATAGTGTATTTTGAGTAGAGAACAAAATATTGGCATTTTATGCAACTTAACCTACCCTTAAGGGACTTGAAGGGTACGTGAGACCAAAACCTCAGATTATAATTGATGTGCAGAACTTCTGGGCATAAAGCAGAAAAATTTGATGTTCAGTCAAACGTCGTCATCTCGAACTCAATGGGACCAAGAAAAAAACTTCGAGATATGTAAGGATTCGAGATTTCAAGGTAAAACACTTTAAGAATTAGTGATTGGGACTTCCAAATCTCTTTGACGTGTCCATGGTACTGTGCCCCCCCCCCCCCCAATAATTTTGCCGATATATAGATAACTAAAGAAAATATAGCTACTATATGCTTGTGCCCCCTCAATAAAAATGTCTGATGACCTTTTATTTTTGCTTTTCAAGGAATTTGTGGTAGTTGATAGTGCCCCCCAACTGTGCCCCCCCCCAACTGAAATTGCTTCCTATGGGTTCCTGTGCAAGGAAAAGATGATTTTGTATTGAAAATTAATCTCCTTTACATTTGCACACCTAACAGACAAATGTCACGTTGGAGGTGGATGGGTTTAAGGTATATTCAGATTTGAATTTCTGCTTGAAAGTCTAATAGAACCCACCAAAATATACTCTGTAATCTTTAAGTCTCCCTTTTTCAGACCTAGAAGATTCTGATGTCTGACTTTCCTTTTACCAATACAAATAAGTCAAAGATGTGTGACAAATGAACATTTGTGGCCAAAAGAGTGTCCTCCCTTGGTGGACAGAAACATTTAATCATTCATGCAAGTCACTCAGCACTCCATAGTTATTTTTCCAAGGACCCTTGGAAGTGTATAGAATTTTTTATGCATGTGTAGTGATCTGCCCTTAAGATATAAAATAAATTGAAATCTAGCAGTATATTACTCAAGTTTTAATCAATTAAAACACAGCCCTTATATTTATAACAGAACAAGATGTATTCATACCAAGTTTATTTGGACAATAATAATGAGATGCTTTGATATTTTATTGGTTTTGTACATTTCATCCGTAACGATAAAACAGCTCATAAACAATTGTATCACACAAATATAATAACAGAGCTTGTCAACACATCACAGAATGATAACAATTCACAAGATGTAATGGAATTAAAAGATATACTGGAATTTGACAGGGATTTCTCATCAAATGTTAGACACAACCTAGCTACTTCTAATTTATGTTGGAGATATAATGATTTTTTATTTAAACTTACGAGATCTATTTTTACATGCTGATACATGGACATGCAAAAGTCTTCAGTGTTTGGAATAAAAAAAATTGTAAATGAAAGACTAAAAGCATCTACTGATGTGACATGCAATACTCTGACATTTAATTATGATGGATATGTCATGTTTTAACATTAAATAAGTGCCAAACATGAGGTAGACTAAAAAGGACCTGACTGATATCACTCATTCCATTGTCAGGCACTTTGTTGCTATTTATTTAATGTAGACTTCTTTAATGAAATTATGAACAAAAATATATTACAAGAATTTTTGAAAAAAAGGAATGAAAAATATTTTCTAACAAAACCAATTGCAGAAGTAGAGATTGAGAGCAAAATTAACTTTCATTCAATGATTGCAACTCAAGACTTTTTTATTTAAAAAAAAAATTGACATGCACATTTGATAAAAAAATTCTTAAATATCCAGAACTATACCATATTAGCTTAAATACAAAGTAAGGACTTTCATCGATGGTTAAACCAAGCAGATATAAACAGGCAAAGAATGTGTAACATGTTGACACTGGCGAGGCTACTCGTAATGAAATTTCCCATTTTCATTTAAGTATTAATATGAATAGTTAAATGTTACTGGAGTGTAGAAAATCCACTTCATACTTAAAATTGCTGGCAATGTACAGTCATTTCCTATCTGCAATAAATCTTTTAACTGTTTTCCTTTAAAAAGATACTGTTTTCTACACAAATAAATCTAAAACCCTAAAATTAAGTTTTAAAAGGGAACTCAATTAAGAAAAATAAAACTAGTTATGCAATAATGATATTAAGAAATCATGCATCATTTTATACGTTCAAAAGCCCTTCTAGATCTATGACAGTCACAATGGTTTCTTTTTTCTGTTGTTTTAAAAATATATTCTATAAAAACATGATGAAATTAGCAACTGGTATTCAATTCATGATTAAAATGCCTTCTATTCATTGACAAAACTGATTTAAAATATTCATAATTTAAAACATGCACTAAACTTAACATTCTGACAAACTACTTAGAAGGATACAAATATACAAGTCTTGCAGACCATAAATTAAATTTTTATAAATCTACATTAATGCTTATATTACAAAAATGTAATTTATACAATTCATTCTTCATTAACATGTTCTGACCATCTACCCTTTCTTCATTCTAATAATGTATAAAGTTTATCTGGCACAATATCTCAAATTTTAATCATCTGCACCAAGAAATGGTTCTGCATCAGTTAAATGTCCAACACAGTCATGCCCATTGTATCCATAATAAAGAATTCTTCCTTCAGCTAAGGCATTACTGTTGTTAAAATTCAAAGTCAGCTTCTGCCATGTCTATAGCCCACCTAAACTTCTCGCGCTGCGTTTTGTTGTAGATTTTTTCTACAGGAACCTCCCATTTTTTGCACCTAAAATGAATTAAACATTTTATCAGCAAAACTTAATTTCACTATAACCTGCAGTTTTGAGCCACAGAATGTTGAAATTAAGAAGTAAAATTGCATGTCCACCTACCAAGCAACAGAAATCCTGGGATCCAGATAGTTAAGTTTGGAGGTTCCAAGGGCTATCTCCTTGTTTTCTTCCTATTAAAACAAAATTTAATCAGAATTCTGTTGATGCATGTAAACTATAGAACATTTTGAGATGTATTTGAATGCTATCCAATATGCTACTCAGAAGATGTGAAATAATGTGGATCTAAAACATCCATACTTTAAAAATTAAGTCTACAAAGTTCTCTCCCTTTATTTGCTATACGTATCCTTATTGCAAGAGATACTAAATTTTCCGAACAATTCCACTAAATTTGTCTCAATTATTCTACAAATATTGTAAACATACAGACAACTAGATATATGCAAACTGACAGACAAACGAAAATGTTTTTTCTCTCCTCTCAAAAATGTTTGCAAATGTAAAAAAAAAAGCCCAAAACCTTTAAATCTTTCAGAATTCTAGAATTATTCTTGAAGTAGTGTGTTATACCTCTATACAATTACCCAGGGATTACATAATACAAGTCTTTCTTTTAATGATGGAAGTATAACTGTTACCTTGTCTGTGGCCTGAACTTCCAGCTTAGTCAATTGTTCCTCCAATCTCTCCAACTGGGCCTTTCTTTTTGTCAGAGCCCTAAATAATTGAAAGGAAAACAGTGTTTAAAAGAGTATTGTGAACATGGTGAAATTGACCACTGCAATGTATTTGACTTTTTCAGATAATAACTCTTATTTCAGGAAACCTCTTACTGTTTAGCCTTCTCCGTCTTTGTGGCCTTGTAGTCAGCCTTGGCGTCCTTCACGTTCTTCTTGGCTTCCTTAATGGCAGCTTTCTTATCCTCAATCTGAGAAAAAAATAAAAACATTTTAAATGGTCAATCATATACAGGTAAAAAACCCACACAAATAACAGTAATGACTAATGATACTTGTTAAGACAAACACCCTTGTAAACCAAACATACTAAAAGCTCTTTTCAGTTAAAAAATTTCAATCTTTGAACAGACAACTGACTGGGCTATTGTAGATCTATGTATTAGGTTGGTATCAATTTGAAATAAAATTTGGATCACCATATACTGTAGGGCCATCATAAGAATTTTATTTGAAGCACATGTACTCTGACCCATATTTTTCCAGGTGAGTAGGCAGGTAGTTTGTTTGTTTTAATTATCTAATACATTGATAAATGTTACTAAAATTACAGATGCAGTGCAAGTTGACAGTTGAAGACCTAATGCAAGGTACTTGTAGGAATTAGAATTATCAATTTTTAAAAAAATCCCATTTTTACATTCAATTTTCAGGGAATTTTGACCAAAGGATGAAAAAATAACAATTTTTTTTAGCTAACAGCAAGATTTGGAAACATTAAGTTATTGCAAGCTATGATACATATTAATCCAATTTTTTTTTATCCCATTGAATTATTTTCCTATAATTAGTTACATATTGTGCACTGTATCCATTACAAACCTTGTTCTGCAAGTTCTCCATCTGTTTACCAAAGTTTTTAGGGGCTGCCCTCTGATGGTTACACAAGATGGCTACAGCACGGTTAGCTCGATTATAAGACAATAACTTAGCTGCCACACCATCATCAGCTGAAACAGACAACATTTCAGAATCTTTCCTCGTAAGACATCGCTCAAGTCAGCAAAGTCACATTTGATAGACTGTGAAAGCTCCACCTACCTTCAGTCAGGATATTGAGCTGCTCTTGCAGTGTTCGTGAAGCATTGTATGTTCGGAAAACTTTGGCTGTTAGGCCTTCCATCAGGTCGTGAAGATGTTTGTTCAGTATTGTGGTCTAAAAGTAAACTGCCATTTTAAGTAATCAAAGAGACAAATTTTGACTCTACCTATAACAAGAATAATACATTCATTTTCCTCTCTTTCTTTTTCCAGTCAAAATTATCTGATTAGAGATTTTTTTTTCTAATCCTGAAGGGAGATTTTACAGCAATAAAACATCTATGTTTTCAAACATACATTGAGCAATCAAAGACATAAATTATCTGATTAGAGATTTTTTTTTCATCCTGAAGGGAGATTTTACAGCAATAAAACATCTATGTTTTCAAACATACATTCAGACGATCAAAGACATAAATTATCTGATTAGAGATTTTCTTCTCATCCTGAAGGGAGATTTTACAGACAATAAAACATCTAGTTTTCAAACCTACATTGAGACGATCAAAGACATCATCATCTCCTGCTTTGTTTTCCATGAAGAGCTGTAAATTTTTGAAGACCCTTTTCTCGACAGGAATTCTGTTGTAGTATCGGATAGAGTCCTTACCCAGGAAATCAAACTCTACCACGTACTCTTGGTCGTCGTATTTCTCATGAAGGTTTAAATGTTCCTTCCTCAGGGAACAGCAGCCGACAGTGTCTGCGGTCTCACCTTCTTCTTTTTCATTACCAGCTCTCAAGGCAAGCTACATACATAGACACAGTAATAAGATTAAGAGTATAGGAGTCCAAAGAAAATACCACTAGTCAAAAATGCATTTATGCTATAAAAAATTAATCTTAAGTTTCTCAAGTCAAAAATTTTAATGCAGAAAGGAGGTCTTTTCTTTCTTTTTTTGTTTTTTTTTTTTTGAAGCAGGTATTCTCTTTTTTTCTGATCCACAAAAAGATGATATCAACTGATTCTTACATTTTTTAACTTTTATATTAATTATAATGTGATGTCAAGTTTAAATAACGTTATTCAAAATATTTTTATAAAAGTTTATCCATAAAATGATGTTTTAATGAAAAATATATTGTGTATCTAATAAAAACATCCTTCCATTAGCATGAATAAAAAGGGGCATAACTTATTTTTCTTTTTAACTTGAAAGAATAATAATATAGTTATTTCCTTTTTCAATAAAATTGATCAATGCGACAGTATTTTTTTTTTGGCCTTATCAAAAAATTTTCAAACTTAATTATTACAGAGGATTGTTTAGATGAAAATATTTCTGGAAAGAAGGAAGTGAATTTCATGATTATAAAGTGTGACTTTCTTACTTTATCAATGAAGTAGAGAGCTACAGCTCTCTGTCTAATCCTCATTTCCTTGGACTTCCAGTCCTCTCGGTACTGGGCTCGGATCTTGTCAACACATTTATGTAGTCTTCTAGCTGTCTCGTACTTTTGCCAATCTTTCTCTCCCTGTTAGTCCATAAATTAATATTAATAATTCACACAAGAACTATTACATGTCTCCACTTTATTAACTCTTTCAACACTGAGTAACTTTTATCAACCAAGCCCTGGTACACTGAGTAACTTGGGCCATCACTAACACTTCACCTTCCATCACAAAAAATACAGTAACTTCTTTATTTCTTTGAATATTTTAATAAATGACACATTATTAGAAAGGTGAGAGATTTCTCTTTTAAATGATATCAAATTTATATACATTCAAAATTATTTAGCAAGTCAAAAGCACTAATAAAAATAATAATTACGTTTTATAACTGATCTTATGTAATATTTTAATAAATTTGCTACTATGAAGTTTCAAAATCGCTTATGTTCTTTCCAACGTTCAAAAGAGAAATTATTTCCAAGTAAAATGATATGCAATATGTCAGAATTTATTGAAAAATAAGTCAATAATAATAAATAAATAAAAAGTGGCATTTCGGGACATCGGGAGAAGTCTGGGGCGTCGAAAAACATCCTCTGTTTCGGAGCCTTTAAAGTCCGATTCCGAGTCAATTTTCTCTGACAAGATTTCTCAACATTGTTAAAACTCATATTTTTGTTGTCTAGAAACATCTATAATATCTATTTCCCCAATTTTATTAAAGTTTTCATCGCCAGAAAGATCCTACATTTTGTTGTTAACCGCCATTTTGCTTTCTTCTTTGTTTTCTTTAAGATTCATCTAATTTTCCTTATTTTTCCGGGATTTTCGCCATGTGGTCCGCCATATTTGTTAACGGATGTTTATATCCATCTACCCATAATTCATAGTGAAAGTTCTTGCGCAGAGAATGCTTTCTATTTCTAAGAATAAACGTTTACTTCCAGTTTTGTGTCTGAGACCGATGAATCAGTCTACCGTGTTCCAAGACGAAATTTTATCAGATCTATGTATCGGTCTACAGTGTTGAAAGGGTTAACATACAATGTACACTAACTTTTCCTCACCTTCAGTCTGGAAGCTGCATTCAACATGACATATTTAGTACTGCCCTGGATATTCTCATTCCAGCAAGCAAGCCAAGACACCTACAATCATAGGATTCTGTTTTATTAACTGTACACAGGATTCTACACAGATGAGGTTATGATAAATGAACACAAGTCAATGTTCTCTTACCTTGTTGTCATGGCGCACTTCTTTCCATTTATGACCAGGCGGAGGGCTGGGTATTTTTGAACCCCTGAAATAAAACATACAAGTTCACATTTCTCCTGCAGTCCTTCCATAAATCAGACATATATTTAAGTTGTTTTCACTATCACTACATACTGACATAATGCCCCCTGTTACTCACTTGCTACAATTGATGATGACATCCTCCGGGAGGGTCCTTGTCTTCAGCATGCCCTGCTTGGGGTGGTCTCCTCGCCCTCGGAAGAGACCTGGAGGTTCTATCCTAAAGTTTCCAATCTTCTCCTTGTGGTTATCCATCACACAAAATCCATATTCTTTCTGAATCTCTTCATTTTTCAATTTCTCAGCCTGAGAGACATTAAATTGTAAGCAATTCAGTAAAGTAATAACAAAACTTCTATGTTAATAGGACTAAGTAAAAGATGAATTTCACTGCTGGTTAAACATCACAATATAATACAATACCTTTTTCTCTTCCTTAGATCGATTTTTTCTTTCCTCAGATTTGAGCTTGAAATACTCTGCCATTTCCTTAAAGTTGCATTTCTTCAAATCTTTAATCAAATCCCTCTCATGGGATGTCATTGTCTGGGAAAAATAAAGAATAATTATTTCTATTTCTTAATACTTTCTCATCTATGGAATTTTTCTTCTAGACTAATGACTGTTATCCTATGTTGAAAATGAAAAAAGTAAACTCAATATACATGTACTATGATTGATCCCAATGTCCAAAAAATATTTTTATTGGAGTATATAGGGTCTTTAAAATGACTTTGTGAATCAACAGACAGCGAGGAATATTCATTGAATCATTTTCATTTTCTTGCAATAAACTTGATATTAAGTTTAATAACTTTATACCAAATTAATATTGAAAATAAAGGCTAGCCATCAAGAACTACATGTATTTTAAATCTTCTTCTAAGTGAAAAACTAAATCTCAATTGTAAAACAATCAGTTAACATTAATGTATACATGTACTTTACATATAATCTCCAAATCAATCAGTTAATATTAATGTATACTTTATGTATAATTTTCAAAATTTGCAACCATTTCACAAGTGTTAAAATTATTCGTCTATAAAATAGCATGCAAACATCAAAGAGGACAATAATGATCATTTCTTCATACTGGTCTTTTGACTATTGACACTTATGATTATTTACCTATCTCTAGCTTTCTGACTAGTGAACACCTATGATTATTCACCTATCTCCAGTTTTTGGATTAGTGAACACCTATGATTATTCACCAATCTCTAGTTTCTGGACTAGTGAACACCTATGATTATTCACCTATCTCTAGTTTTTTGACCAGTGAACACCTATGATTATTCACCTATCTCTAGTTTTATGACTAGTGAACACCTATGATTATTCACCAATCTCTAGTTTCTGGACTAGTGAACACCTATGATTATTCACCTATCTCTAGTTTTTTTTTACTAGTTGACTGGTGAACACCTATGATTATTCATCTATCTCTAGTTTTTTGACTAGTGAACACCTATGATTATTCATCTATCTCTAGTTTTTGGACTAGTGAACACCTATGATTATTCACCTTTCTCTAGTTTTTTGACCAGTGAACACCTATGATTATTCACCTATCTCTAGTTTTTTGACCAGTGAACACCTATGATTATTCACCTTCTCTAGTTTTTTGACCAGTGAACACCTATGATTATTCATCTATCCCTAGTTTTTTGACCAGTGAACACCTATGATTATTCATCTACCCCTAGTTTTTTGACTAGTGAACACCTTTGATTATTCACCTTTCTCCAATCTTTCATGAAGTTCTTGTTAAATACGTCCTTGGTGGTGTAATCATGCTCCAACATCTTGGCGTAAAAAGTGGCCACTTCTTCAGCAGGCTCAGACAATTTCAACTCTTTCCCTGTCAAATAAAAAAAAAATCATCAAGAATTTACTCTAAATTTGTTTCTTTAAAGTTATAGAAACAGAAAGTCAAGGGAAATAAAATGCAATACCCTCATAGTAAAATCTGACGTCGTCTGGCAATGGTTCATAATCCGGGGCAAATAAGGGACCTTTGTGCTCCAGTGAATGCCACTTCACACCGTCATCCCTACGTTCCTCTTCCCACCTACAAAAATTAACCATGGGTGTATTCATTAAAACATCTCTTTACATGCTAATCCTAAGTAAGCTTCTACCGACAGTAGACAGTGATGCAGTTTGTTTTCACCATCCTACGAAGATGTTTGGTAACTGATAGGAAATCTTAACAACAGCTCTCAGTAATGTAGAGTAGGTCTATAACATTTTGTACTCTACCATCTCCAAACTTCATGTGTCTCTTCTTCTTTGACTTTCTTGGAGGGAGATTTATTTTCTTGTTTTCCACTTTCAGTCTTTACTTTCTTTTTCTTCTTCTATAAATGAGATCAGCAATTATTCATATATTCAATCAGTAACAAGCTTTTTCAACAAACTTCTTTGAAGAAATTGAGATTAGATTTAAAAAAAAAAAAATATGTGAGAAGTTCCAAGTCAGTTTGTTGTGTAAGCATGATAATAAAAACCTCTGGTTGATTTTCCGAGCGTACCTTAATAGGAACATCATCATCAAAGTCTTCAGTTTTTCTCTTTTTAGCACTGCTTGGTTTTTCTACTTTTGCTTCCTTCTTTATCTTCTTCTTCTCTTTTTCAATTCTGAAAAATTTTGTTTTCTTAGTTACTGACCATTTCAAAATTAAGTATGATCTGAAAGACCCTATAAACTATATGTCATTTTGGACATAAGGAATCCAGTAAAACAGGTATTTTTCACAAACAATCCAATTTTTTGCTTTCTTTGAGAGCATTTTTAGATCACAGGAAAAATTGTCATCATTAATCAATAGGAAAAGAAAGCATACTTAATACAGTGGTTCCCGTTTTATCGAATAGTCAAGTTGTCAGCCTAGTTTTATCCGAATAGCCGAAAATTAGAATAGCCGATTGCTCCATACCGAGTCCAAAGATAGATGTATAGAGCTACATGTATTGATAATACATCGTAGCAAATTTCAAGCTTGCACTTTCGTTTTTCTTTTGACATGTTTACTTAATGACTTTACTAAAAATAATTTATTTCACTTACTTATGAATTTAATATGAAATTTTTTTTCAAATAAATTGACGTATAGAATATATTCTTTGATAGTTATTGCCATCTTTCTTCAGCACATGTTTACATTCCTTCTTCGATGGTCGCCATTTTGGAAACGGAAGTAGACTAAATGCTTGACTAATAACCGTAAACTATTTTTCCCTGGATAGAGTGTAAATTAAAAATAAACAAAAATATTAAATATATATAATTGTTGTTTTTATTTGTTTCTTTAATACCGTTACGTATTTTATACTGTGTGTGAGTTTACCAGTCTCGTTCTTGTCTGCTGAAGAGAGATTTTGAGAGCCATGTGGAGAAAGATGGTATGAATTTTGAGACGTATTTTTATAGAATGGGCCATTTGTGATTTTTACCATAAATTTTGCACTGAAAAATGAATAAATATTAAGCCAATTGACCAAGTTAAACGATTGAATAGGCTTATTTCATTATCCAAGCAAATTGTCATACACAAGCTAATCAGTTCAATAATTAAAATTTCACGCTGAAAAAATTACAAATAATTGTCATAATTAACAAGTGCATCATTGAACCCAAGCTGATCACCACAACTGTAATCAAAACATATCTATTTACTATGCCCACTATTGACACAGGTAAGGTGCCTGTGTGCGTCCAGCCGTAACTAATCCCCTTCATTGTCGTACTCAAGCCAGTCAAGGTAATTGGTGTCAAACTGTGTAAACAAAGGCTTCACATACGAAGTTGGAGGTGTGAACAAAGTGCTGATTATCAAAAAACACTATGATAGTCAAAATTTTTGTATCGGATAAAACGAAAGTCCAATATTTCTCATCAGAATATCAGGTGAAATTATTAATAAATATATAAGAAATGGTTTTGTGCTCTGATATTATATTGAAATAGCCGAAATATTCGTTAAACCGCTATCCGATAAAATGGAAGCCACTGTATGCCAATAATTCCAGAGGATAAGCATTTTGAGAATGCCTACCTTGCAGAAAGGGGTTCATCATCGTCATCATCCGATTCATGTGGTCTCTTTTCCTGGGGTTGTTCTTTCTTTATTCTAGTAGCCTACATATTGAAGCTATAATCAGTTTCTGCATAAGGAATTGAGGCAGCTAATGTAGCTTATGATATTGGAAAGTTGTTACAATAATCTTACCAAAGGTATTTCATCATCACTCATATCTTCCTCTTTGACTTGTTTAACGGGTGAAGACTCCTTCTTGCTGGGGGACTTGCTAGGAGATTTCTCCCGTACTGGCGACTTCACAGGGGAAGACGGCTCAGATTTGACCTTTACTTTTTCAACCTCCTCTTTTGACTTCTCCTTATGCTTTTGCTCTGATGATGAAGAACTGTGCTTAGAGCTGCTCCCATCCTTATGCTTGTGGCTGCTTGAAGACGAGCTGTGCTTGTGACTGCTTGATGAGCTGTGCTTGCTCGACCCCTCTTTGTGGCTGCTGGAGCTCCGCTCTTTGCTGCTGCTTGAACTTTTCTCCTTTGAACTCCCCTCCTTATGGCTGCTAGAACTACCTTCTTTGTGGTTGCTGCTTGAGCTGGACTTGTGAGATGAGCTGGAATGCTTACTGCTCGAGTTCTTATCCTTTGAGCTTGAGCTACTCCTCTCCTTGTCTTTGTGTTTGCTGGAACTAGAACTGCTGCTATCTTTATGTTTGCTGGATGAGCTTGAGCTGCTATGATGTTTGCTAGAACTGCTGCTCGAGTGCTTTGAGGATGATGAGCTATGTCCATGTTTAGAGCTTGAGGAATGCTTTGAGCTCTTGTGCTTATCATCATCCTTGATCATCGGAAGAGTCGCATGTCCATTCTGCTCAGCATGATTGGCATGATTTACTTCACTGCTTGCCATCTTAGCTTTTAATTCAACTAAACAATTTGGTAAAAAAAAAAAATCAAATAGTGAAACGAAGGATTTCTTATCGTTATTTCACTTTATGTGATATTTTAATCAAAGATGTTAAATGTATTAATATGTTTTTTAACAGAAAAAAAATAAAAGACTTTAACAATTTCTTTAAAAACCAAAGTTTTTTTGCAATGCAGTTCATTATAACATTTTAGAGTTACTTCCCTTAGAAAGAATTAAAAGCCACAAAATAATTAATATTCATTTATCTACACCGTATCTATATTTATCTAGGAAATTCTTAATCTCTTTCTAGAAATGTTCAAAAACACATATAAGAAGTTACTGATTCATTGTATGTGTTTTTCTTGTTTGATGTTAGGCGACTACATGTTTTGCTCTAAGTCGGAATATCGACTGGACTTAGTCTCCGCGCAGCCATTTCTGCAATCTTAGCAGATGGAGTCATTTTCTTACCTTTGTCGTGGATTCCCGGGGACACGACGGCTTCCTAGACAGAAGAAAAACAAAGATTTTTACCTCATCCAACGACCTATTCAATTAATACATTTAAATGCTTGTCTTGTAACTTGTATGCTGGTTTCAAAATCGGCTAAAAAACAGACAGTCGATGTGGACTTAGAAAATTTGCGGCCATCTTGACTTAGTCGTTTTCATCGTCCTTTGTTACCCTAACTTTTACCGACGCGAGAGAAATATCTACGACTTTGAATAACTATTTTTCTACATCAAATTACTAAGAAATGTATAATCAAATTACTGACCTGATTTACAGTCGATTCTCCATCTACTAAATCCATTCTCGGTAAAAATTATTTTTGTGTACAATCAGCACGATGTGTAGGTATCGCTGAACGGCTAAGTGCAAGATGATGACCAGTAGGCATGCGCAGCAATGCTGTCGTCATGAGTGTCAGCTCACTAGGATGTTGTTTTTTGTCATGTTTTTATTTCATTTTTGTTGTCTAATGACTTCATGTAAACGTGATACGTGATAGGATAACGAAAATTTTAATACTTTTTCACTTCTTCTTATTTTTAAATCGTAAAGACTAAAGGGGAAAACCAAGACCAAGTGCTTCTCCAATAGTGGCGGGAAATTTTAAAAATATTGCGTTCAGGGTTTTACAATGGTGAAAATTGAAAACAACCTCTGATAGTATTTGCTGGCATCAGTGAACAATGGTAGTCATTGGCCACTAAATCTTAAGAGCAGCAATATTTCCCCGATAGAAGATTTTTAGACCATTTTATTGGGGGGGGGGGGTGGATCCAGGAATTTAGGTGGGTGGTTGTGAAATTTATTTCAGAGGCAGGGGTCTGGGGACCACCTTAAGGCCCCAAGTGAGTTCAGGGCGTGAAGCCCCCGGAAGCTGTTGAATTTTAGTGATTTTAAAGTAAATTTACCATATAATTAAATTCCATACAAATACAAACACTTTAAATAGTATCAATAATCAAATTATCAGCTGATTAGGTAAGAATTTCCTTTTAAATAGTCAAACTCAACAAACTCGCCATTGAACCGTGATTTGAACCCACCCACTTATGTATATATTTTTCGTACTGAAGCCCCCCCCCCTCTTTCATCATGTCTCCCCATTTTTTATCGTGTGTCATAATTTTAGCAAATATTAGCCATAAAATACATGATTTCTGAGTCACAATGACTTCCCTGTGCAAATATGAAACCTCATGATATGAAATCAGAACCCATTGACTTGGAAAGACGGTTTACAATTAGCTGGTTGTAATTTGCTGGGGAAAAATACGACAGATCATAGAGCTATACACGTGTGTGGCTGACAGACAAGCAGTACGTGCGCAAATTTTAGACTCGTTTTCCTAAAACGACCTATCTCAGAGTATTTCATGCCAAAAATTCTTAAAACATTTCACCACTGATGTTTCTGCTAAATCTTCCCCCAAAATTCTTCAAATTGCCGTCATCAGAAATGGAAGAGAAAGTGCATTGAAATAAGAAAATAATATAACTCTTAATGACATAAATGTCTATTATTCCTTTATAGATTTGCCAAGTTGAACTGTCTTGTTTGTTTCATTAGGCCCCACAAGCTTAGGTATAATGGTTTGTATTTCACTTGTCTTATAACATACATTTCTTTTGGAAAATCATATAAGTTAAACCAACATTTTATATGAGTGATCCAGAGGGTTTGTGAGCCTTAATTTTTGCCAATATCCACGCTCACCATTTTCACGTGTAAACAAAATCATTCTTCTTCACTTTCCGAGGTTAAAAGAATTTCTATTACAAGTAAATCGACATCTTTAGTAAAGGTTATTTTCTATAGAATTTTCAGGTTTCAAAAACTCATAGCAGATATGTTTTGTGCATGGAACATGATTAAGAAAATTAATTCTGTGCTGATATTGGCTGGTTAAAAAGTAGAATACATATGTGATGCCGTTTTTGCAAGAGTGCCAAATGTTGTGTGCTATACATATATATCTATTTCTATTTTCAGAGTATTTTAATATACTAATTTAATATAATGACAGTTTTTCATTTATATATACACATGTAACCAAATTTTTGGATTAAGGGGGGGGGGGGGTTAGTCTTTTGCTGTAGTTTAATATATAAATTCTCATTTAGATGCCCCCTCACTTTTTTTTATTGTTGTAAGATTGAGCACTGGCAAATTCCAACATTTAAAAAAAATCTACCAAAATTAGAGAAAGGTCTACACCCTCACGAAAGAGGTTTTTCGAGTTTGGCTTGAACTTTAGGTTTTTCGAGGAGGGGGTGGCCTGTAGTTCATTAATTATAAATTTGGTTGTTTTATGTTTATCAAAGTGTTAAAATCATGCCATGATTTTATAAATTAATAATATTCAACGCATTTTATGTAAGTATAATATTAACATTGCATATAAATGGCGCGAAAGGTCCTGAAATGTTCAAATACTGAAATATTTCATTTACACCCCTTTATACGGCCTTACCGTGCATTGATAGTAGTGACTTATTTTTTCGAGAGAGTAACTTTTTTAACATAAACCGCTACCAATGGCATTAGTATCGTTATTATGAATGTTATATATGTTATGTGTACACACATCTCAGCATCGACAAATACCATACATTACCTGATAATCACATATACTCAGTATTTGGTCCACTTGTCCTCACATTTTCACTCCAACATTGTTGTCCTTTTGTCCTCACATTTTCACTCCTTCGTCTTTGCTTCATTGCACCCTCATATTTTTGCTCCCAAGTGTTGAAACCCTTAAATTCTTACTTCTTTTTGTTGTACCCCTCAATTTCCCACTCCTTTGCCTTATGGACAAGTGATTGAGTAGCTGTATCAGTACACCAGGCTTATATCATAGTCATATTGTAATAAAATTATATGGTTACTAGTATTTTAAGGACAAGTCCAAGTTTCTTAATTTTCAAAGAAATTCATGTTCACAGCTATAGTGTCATAACTATTTTCAAAATTGGGTTTTCTTACGATCAGATTTTCTATAATCTAATCAGATAGAAATTGACATCTTATATATTTTTTTCAACAAGTTCATGTAAAAAAAAACAAAACCAATTATTTTGTATAATCAGGTCCCTGGTATAATGGGGATAAAATCAAAATTTTTATGAATGAATTGGTAATGCTGAATAATATAATTCTACAAATTCCATTTACATTCGTATGTATCTCTCCTTAACAAAACTCAAGGTAGGATGCTACCTTCGTACCCCCCCTCCTCCCCCCTTTCCTGATTAACTGTCGAAGGCCGGAACTTCAGTAATTCGGAAATAAATATTTTCCCCGAAACTGTTCTAACATTTATTTTGTTTGTTCTCCTGTGTTCTCCCGCCATTGAGCTTCGTTCAGCACATTGCCTTGATTGAGATGAAGAAAAATCAGCGCTGTTGAATCATGTCAAGTTTACATGTGGACAAAGACACCTTTTTCAGACGAGTAAAACGGTTCTATCAAGCCTGGAATGTAAGTGTGAAATTTGATCGCGCACTTCTCATATTCAGTTAGCCAATGAAGTGATCAACACAAATGCGTTCTTCACCAATGTATTCAGTATTGTATGTTTGCTAGTCAGTATTTTGTTGCCAAGACGTCAAATCCGAGGAACTATGGTTTCTGATTTACGAATTAAGTATGCAAACATGTAAACGTGTCTTTGGATACTTTTTTCTGCACAGACTACCCGTCCTAAAAAGTGTTTTGATTTCGTTAGCATTGATTAATTTTTGACAGACCAGTGCTCATAAGAATATGTGCTATATTCAAAGTAATTTATCCCACAAATCCAGTGTAAACTGGTTTACTCAAGTCGGATTCAGAAACATGAACTTTCATGATCTGTCACATCCTTGCAAGCCAGGGGTCCTGAGTCAACACGTTGCCGTTGAACCCCTGGCATATTTCATTCAATATTTCTGGGCTGGATGTAGCGACGTCTTTCGGAAAAATTACAAATCCTAATTGTTTTTCTTATCTTTCAACCAATCACATTAAGCCATTCTATGATAAACAACTTGTAACACGTGCATTTGAGGTGTCAACTGAATCCTTATCTAACTATTTATGAAAGCTTTAATTTGATTGGTGCTTCTCAGTGAGAGAAGCAAGCCCACAGATATTGAATGAAATATGCCAGGGGTCCAACGGCAACGTGTTGACTCAGGACCCCTGGCTTGCGAGGATGGATCTGTCAGTGTTGGCCATGCTCTGATTTGTTAGTTAAATGTAGCACAGGAGTTAACAGTTTTATCAATAGAGCAATGTTAATCGCAACTTTTCGGGCCCTTCTGAAGCAAAAAAAAAAAAAAACAACTTCGAATGTGTAACATAGGCATCCATGACAACCCCCTTCTCATAAACATTGGAATAAATGTAGGGAGACCTTTATCTGTAGAGTATTGAGCTGATATTACCTAAGTATACAGTTAAACTTTGGTATCTTGAACACAGATATCTTGAATACCATTGATATGTCGAAGTGATTAGGAAGTCCTAACCACATATTTCTTACGTATTTAACTAGGGCTGTCACGGTTCCAAAATTTTTCGGGTCGGGTCGTTTCTGTAAATTTTCGGTTCGGTTTCGGGTTTTTCGGTTCAGTTATTTACATCTATTTTAAACCTTAATTTCATGAATGTAACTGTGAACGTCTAGACATCAGTGACTTGGCCTACTATTAGCCACAACCTGACCATTCCTACTCGTTTTGATAATTATCTAATACTCCGTGACAAGTGTTCTGTCATGGAATGAAGTAGATTTCAGTTGTGATGTTTATTTATCACTGTTATCGTTATCATTCCTTTGATTTCGACACCATTTTTTGATTGCACAGACTCTAATATATAAACCAGACCGAACCGAATTCCGGAAAAATGAAACCAGAACCGAACAACTTGGACGCAGTTCTCGGTTATTTTGGGTACTCGTGACAGCCCTATATTTAACCCTTGTTATCTCGAACCCTTGGATATCTCGGAAGTTTTTTCTTGGTCCCATGGAGTTCTAGATAACGTGGTTTGACTGTACTACAGAAGGGACAATCAACTCTGCCTATCCATTACTTTAACAGGGTTCGACATTCACACTCGTCACCTCGTCATTTCCATCCGGGAATAATTTTTGACGACCTGATTTTCAGTCTGGCTCGCCCAAATGATGACCTGGGACGAGTTGGGAATATTCAATAATGATGTTCAATATTTTAAAATAAACTTCATAAGGCCTTGAAAACATTTGTTCCTGTAACCTGACCGACCCATTCAAATTGCGTGGATTTTACTTTCTGCCAAATCTGTGTTCAATCAATCAGCTGATGCAATTGTAGCTCTACTGGTCAGAGACCAGAAGAGCTTATGCGATAGTATAGATGTCCGTCCGTCTGTCTGTCTGTCTGTCCGTCTGTCTGTAAACAATTTTTCAAAACGCTACTCCTCCTACAGTTTTTGTCTGATTTCAATATAACTATTTTTCAATATTCCCAAAAGTGTTAAATTAAGTTTTATTTGAGATATAAAATATGTCATCCTAGTCAACAATCACCATAAATATAAAGAGTAATGATCATCATTGTAACATCTAGCATTTCCCCCCACAACTTTCTGATGTTCGTTTTCTGCAATAGACAGCCATGTTGGGTGTCTACTGTAATATCACACCTGGTTAATTCAGGCCAGGGATATTTGACCCTGTTTATTTAGGCCTTTATGGTAAGTGAAAATGAATGTTTTAAACTAGAAACTTTATTATGTGTCATTATGTGAGATTGTATATTGATACATTAGCAAAAAAAAAAAAAAAAAAAAAAAAAAAAAATCCCAACCTACCAACCCTTGATTTATTGGGAATATAACAGGAATCAAACATAATTTTTTCAAAGCCTAATTAGCATTCTGATTCTGCTTATAATATTTGTTGCTTGTTTTTGTTTTTTTGTTTTTTTGGGGGGGGGATAAAATACTGGAAGACACCTTTTGACATTTCAAAAATGTCTAGTTTACATTTTATAATACAAAAGCACAACTTCTGTTATCTTAACAAATTTTAAACAATTGCACATTTTTGTTTCATTTGATATTTTGTTGGGGTGACCTGAAATTCATTCAGGCAACCTGCGATCAGTACCAAGGTTGCCCAAATGGTGAGACCAAATTTTGACGAGTGTCGAACCCTGCTTTAACGACTCCATTTTGTATAGAATTTTAACATTTGATGGTGTAAATGCTTTCGAGATGTTTTTCTGAGCTTTCCAGAAAGGCATGAGAAGATGCAATTGAGAGCAATGTAAACAACAACCATTGAGCTTCATGAGCTAACAATTGAAGTGACAGGAATGCAATGATTTGGACAAATTCTGGTCTGGCACTCATTAAGTCAAAATAAAAAGAGCAGCTCAACTCACTTTAGTTGATGTGTTTTACTTGATTTCTGGAACAGTCCCCTTCTTAATATTGATCCTGAAATCTAATTGAAAAATATTTGAAAAGAATAATTTATCATGAGGGTCGCATGACATCATATTTAAAAAAAAATATAAAGCATCAATGCATTGTTTTAATCTTTTATTTTTTCTATAGTATTAGTTTAGTGGTAAGTAGTTTTTAAATGAACACAAAGTTTACTTTAGTTGTGAGCATGTTTTAAGTGAGATAATTTCCGGAAGTTGAGTTGTGTAGGATTTTTGGTCATTTAAAAAAAAAATTGCCATTAAACTATAAGAAGATTTTTTTTAAGAAACATTTCATACATAAGACACTATCTAATTTAAAAATTTTATTTTTAAAGCTCAACTTCAAATACATCATTAATGAAATAGCCTTTATTCTTATCCAGCATTTACCATAACACTTTCAAAAAAAGCATTATTTGTATAAAAAGAGTGGAGGATCATCACACACCATGTCTGATTTTTCAGACTGATTCAAGTTCAAATTTCTGTTATTATTCCTTGGTAATGAGAGTCTTTCTGTGAATTAATTTCATGTCTTCGTTAAGATGTTTCTTGATAAATCAGTGTCTGATTTAGGAGACAGTGTACTACAGTAAGTCAAACACAAACCCCATTTCCTTTACAGCAATGGAAGTTGAGCAGATGCATACATATAAACATAGAGGCATTTAGAAATGATATGGTTAATTGAAGAATGTTAAATCTTAATCATCTGTACTTAATCATGTGGTTTGAAAATGAAAACAAGAATTGTAAGAAGCACCACTTTTCATTATTTGACCATGTTACAGAAATCCTCCAGTGATGCCCTAAGTCAGATTGATGCCCTGGTTACGGCTGTTGGGGTTGACGAGGAAGTGGTATATTCCAAGTCAACGGCTCTACAGGTAAGGGACAGAATTCTGTACATTCTAAGTCAACGGCTCTACAGGTAAGGGACAGAATTCTGTACATTCTAAGTCAACGGCTCTACAGGTAAGGGACAGAACTCTGTACATTCAGTGATGAAGTCAACAGCTCTACAGGTAAATGACAGAACTCTGTACATTCAGTGATGAAAACCAGTGATTTCAGATTAATTGCGTCGTGCAGTTTTGTTAGAGAAAGCTTCAATTAATGAATAAGTTTTCAAGGAGGAAAGCTATTTATACAAATTAAAGCAAAGTTGAATTTTATGGATAACCTTCCAAAAAATCAGTTTTGTGGACAATACTTGTGAAGTAGTGGAAGAAAGAAGGTTTTGATCCAGAATTTATAAAATTATTTTTTTTTTTTACACATACTGTATGTTTTAATGGTTCAATTCTCTATACATTTCAGACATGGCTATTTGGGTATGAATTGACAGACACCATTATGGTGTTCTGTGAAAAAAGCATCTCTATCCTTGCTAGTAAAAAGAAGATTGACTTCCTGAAACAGCTGGAGGCATCCAAAGAAAATGACCAGCCACAGATCAAACTGTTGACCAGAGACAAGGTGAGAAAACTGAAATCTAGAAGGTTTTATATTGAGGATTAATAAAGATAGTGCTAATTACTTCTTGTACATGTAGGTTTCATTTGATGAATGTAAGTTTAAGAAAACACTACATTACCTTTGAACAATTCATATTGATTGGATTTAGTGATATAAATTTATTCAAAACACTGTATTTGAAAAAATGTAGCCAGAAACAATGTGTTCAGTTTGATTTTCTAATTTCGTACAGGGAGACAAGGACAAAGGGAATTTTCAGAAGCTGATAAGTGAAATCAAATCAAGCAAAAAGGTAAATTCCGTTGAGATTCTGACTGTAGACTATTACAGCATAATTTTTATGTTGGTCATTTGAAATATTTCATACTGTGATTATTACTGATATATTTTGTAGGGAAAATCTGTGGGGGAGTTCAGTAAAGACAAGTTTCCTGGGGAGTTTATGGAGAGCTGGAGGTCCGCACTAGGTGGCGCCTCATTCCAAAAGGTAACAAAAAATATCATTCTATTGTAGTATAAGGGCTATTCCAGGAAAAATTGTATGGGGGGGTTGGAAGGCACTTTTATTTTTACCCCACCACCCATACATTTTTAATTACCTTCTACCCCCCCCCCCCCCCCCCCCCCCCATCAATTTAAAATTGCTTTTGATACAACCACCCATCTAAATTAAAAAAAAAAAATTGTGTCACACATATATATGCAATAAAATTTTATGTACTTTTTTCAGGTATTGTAATTTATCTGACTCCGAATGAGTGTTGGGTTTTGACATCTATCCAACCAGGGCCCGTTTTACAAAAGAACTTATGACTAAGATCAAAATGTTATTATGCAAATAAATTTCTTTTTTGCATTACTTTAAAAATGTTTTAAATCTTTCGGAAAAAAAATAAGATAGTTTTATGCCAACAATTTTTAACAGAAACATAAGTTTTGTAAGATTTTATGAACAACTAAAGTTTTTAGTCTTAGTCATAAGTTTTTTGGTAAAACAGTTCCCTGTGTTCCTGCTTCAGCTTAAAAAAATATGTTCCTTTAGGCCTATGATACACACCACTGAAAGTCTTTATTATAGTGATTTGTATATCTGTTCTGATGCATGACTTTGTAGTCTGTAAAGCTTAGGTAAATCTTTTACAAGTATGTGTACACATGTACTAGTAGAAATGACATTCCTACAATTAATCAAAATTAATATTGTAAATTATAGCTTAGTTATCCTCAACAATTGTTGTTCACCTTGTTCATAACAAAATGATTCTTGCTTTTTTTTCTTTTTTTTTTTTGGGGGGGGGGGGACTAAACTTCTGTAGGCAGTGTCTGTGAAGTGAAAACTTTGATTTAAAAAATATATTTAATGAATTCTTAATCCCATCTAACAACTTAGACCATTGGTGCATACAAGTTCGACAAGTTAACACTTAACAGGTTAAGGACTGGCATGTTTTTGACATAATATATTTCATATTGTTTTCAAACTCATATCTCATCTTCCTTTTACTCTGTATGTGGTATGAACTAAAATATTTGACTTGCAAACTCCGTAGTCATGCTCTAAAACGTTCATTGTCAGATACGTTTTTTTTTCTACTTTCGGTTTAAAATAAAACGATCTTTCTGATTGTTTCTAATATCATTTAATTTACCAATGTAATCATGTTTGAATAAAATGGCGAAAAGAAACTGGACCAGGGAGTCCAAAGCACAACTAATCCGTTTTCCAATCCCCCACTGTCATTGCAGTCACAGTTGCACATGCTTTTATAGTTATCTGCCCTTGTTTCCGTTTTGTTCGATTCTACTTTCACTTTCAATGTAAACACACTTTACAACTGTTTAGGACGAAAATATCAGTATTTACCGATTTATACAAAATGAGAGGAAAGAAGTACTTTGCACTTGATTATTTGTGAGGGTAAATACAACCACCCATCTGAAAATATATCGAGTGAAGACAACCTCCCATACAAATTTAATTGCTCCAGACCCACTACCCATACAAAAATATATGAAGTGCCGTCCAACCCTCCCGTACATTTTTTCCTGGAATAGCCCTAAGTAAGTTGCTTTAAGGTCACGGCTAGTAACCAAAATAGATCCCAAACTTACCCCAATAGTGAGCTGTGAACACAGAAATAAGAGAAATAACCTGGAATTTATCATTAATTATACCCCCCGCAAACGAAGTTTGGGGGGGGTATATTGGAATCAGCTTGTCCGTCTGTCTATAGACAAGATTTTGTCCGGACCATTTCTTAGACACTGTTGCAAGGATTTTTCTGAAAATTTGTACACTTATTCTTTGCCATATGAAGGTTTGCACATGGTATTTTCATCATGATTGGGTAATTTTTTTGCATTTTACAGGTGTTTTTTTCATTTTTATCATGTGGTTTTGTCCGGATCTGTTCCCAGAGACTACTGCATAGATTTGTATGAAAATTTGTACACTTATTATTTACCATACGAAGATGTGCACCTGGTATTTTCAACATTATTTGATAATTTTTCTGCATTTTACAGGTGTTTTTTTTTTTTTTCATTTTTATTGACTTAGTCATTTTGGGTTCATGTCTAAGGTTTGAGACATAGAATCTAGAACATCTGTACAAAAATGTGAACTACAGCTTAAAACTACTCATTAGAAATAAAAAAAAAATCACAAAGTTTTAAAAACAGTTTTTACATTACACAGCAGATAGTGTAAATCCATTAGTCCCTTGGGAGTAATGAGTGGAAATGCATCCAGTTAAAGATTAATTAATGAGTTCAGTGTGGGAAGCTGTTAGGGCATCTCTGATCAAGCAGGTCTTATCTATATCTCCTGGGAATTGGGCAGAAAGAAATAAAGATCTCTGTTGTCTAAGTCTCTTAATTGTAATTTATATCTGTCAAAATACATAGTTACTGGAACCAGCCTTTTATTTTTAAAATGAGTTGGATATAAAGGTATTAAGATCAATTTGATTTTGTATAATTAATTATGATTTTTTTTTTTTCAACAATCAATTTGCAGAGTGTCATGTCTCACAAAGATGACATATCAACTATTTTTTCAATGTAATAAAAAACACTGTAAATGTGGTAGTGTCAGATACATGGCTTCCTACTAGCTTGGGTAAGAGGGTTAACCCTTTAGCTCAATTGGTAGAGCACTGGACTGTTATGTTTTTTGTATGTATGCAAAGATCCAATACACTGATAGGCCTAAATGATAACAAGTTGAGGAGCACGTTTTTGTATAGGTCTTTGTATTTCAGGACGGAAATTACAACTGGCTCCTTGCGCATACTCAAACCAAGTATATGTAAAAAATCAATATCTAAGGGGGATAACTCTTATAACAAAATTAGCCAGATAATGTAACATGGACTGGCAAGCCAGAGGCCCCGGGTTCAATCCCTAGCAGAGGCACAAAAATGTCTCTGTTACATGATTACTAGCATGTGACTAGTATGGATGTTTTATTAGGCTGCACCTTAGTTTCATTCATTAAAAAAAAATATAACGAGTAATTAAATTTTCACTCTAAATGTTTAAGCAAATTGTGAACACCTCTCACATCTAGAAAACATTAGTGATTTGGTACCTTCTCTGAAAAACCCAGCGGGGGGTATTTGTCCCTTTTGGACAGTTCTAGTTGGATTTGAAGTGATATTAAAATTCTGAAAATTTGTGATAAATCTTGCTAGCATAAAGTAGATAAAAGGACAGGCTTTTGTCATTGAGACATACATGTATGTACATCATGCTAGAGTCCTTGATTTTACAGGTGGATGTTAGCTCAGTTATGGCTTATATCATGGCTGTTAAAGAAGAACCGGAGATCAAAACTATGCAGAAGGCATCAGCAGTCACGTGTGAGGTCTTCTCCAAATATCTGCGAGAGCAGATCATGGAAATCATTGATGCTGAAAAGGCAAGACAAACTATTTTAAATAGACATTAAGAGAAAGGGCAACTATTTTGGTGTGTATTTAAGTAATGGATATATGCCGAATACTGTTCTATATGTAAAATTATCAGACTGTTTGAGGCCCGTTAGGGCCGAAAACAGTCTGATAATTTTACATAAAGAATTGTATGAGGCATATATCTTACTTTAAACATTGCTATTTAAATGTCCAAAAGTTACCTGGAGGAGTCCGATAATTACACAATAGGAGTTCAGGCATCAATAGTTTTCTACCTGAAACCATCTAATAAGTAGACAAAAGAAAAGAGAAAGTTTTTTTTTCTTAAGACAGTAAAATCAGTGAGTGAACTCTTTTGTTACATTCATTCATTCAATGGCAGTCATTTGGCTTAGCAGGAACTATGGACAGTGGTCAGGTGGTGAAGGATTTTTTTATGATTCGGAATATTTTTTAAGTGCGTTTGACATTGATACAGATACAGTGTTGGATGATATCTTCAAAATGCATTTAAAGTAAAAATGAGGATTTTTATCTAAATTTTTGATGGGATTATATAAAAAAAAAATCTTGGGTTTTAAAATTGCTGTCATTGGCGAACAAACCTCGTTAAATGATGAGATTCACAGACTGGTTATTGATCAGAAATGGATTTAAATTGGCTTATTCACAGAGCTGTATCGAAAACGCTTTGCAAAAAACCGAATGGAAAGTAATACTTTTGAGGAAGATTAAAACTCCAGTTTCTTCTTGGATTTGCTTTTTTTAACAACTTAATTTCCTCGCGATCGCTTTCTGTGATTTTTTTCTACCTAATTTTTTTTTGGTTTCTGGACAAATTAAACCTTGATTTCACTCTAGTTGTTGTTTTTTAACTACTGTCCAATTTTGTTATCACTGCCGTCCGATAATATATTATTGGACTGTTAATTATTATTATCGGACGGCTACAGGTAAATTTTTAGACTGCTAGAACAAATGCATGACGTCACAGCAATGTTTTAAATATTATGATGAAAGTAATTCATGCAGGGAAGACTGAATATAGCCTGTTATAGTGGATTTATGAATAGCATTTGAATAAGAAATTCTCTTGCACCTCGAAGAAATGATAAATGACATAAAAACAGGTCAGCTATACATAAATAGATTACATGTATTTAGATGTATAACTACAGTCCAACCACAATATCTGGACTGTTATTGGATTGAGAAATAAGATATCTGAGATTCCAAAGTTTAGAGTCAAATTTATGTTTGTTGTTTGTTAGAGAACAGCTACTTCACTTCAACATCATGTTATTTACCAGGGTTTGAGATATTGAACATATCATTGTCATTCAGGGTTTGAGATATTGAACATATCATTGTCATTCAGGGTTTGATATATTGAACATATCATTGTCATTCAGGGTTTGATATATTAAATATCAGCTGTATGTTTATTTTCTACAGAAAGTGAAGCATTCTAAGCTGGCTGATGGAGTGGAGCAGGCTCTACAGAACAAGAAGATAGTCAGTGGGGTGGATGTGGGACAGCTCGATATGTGTTACCCAGCCATCATACAGAGTGGAGGCAAATACAGTCTGAAATTCTCCACTGTCAGGTACAGGAGCAATAAAAAACATTTTATTAGCTCTTCTGAGCCAAAGGCTCAAAGAGCTAATGCTATGGCCATTTGTGCGGTGTGCGTAAACTTTTTAGAATATGGGCCATAACTCAAGAACCCCTTGGCCAATTACTGTCAAATTTGTCACAGGGTATCCTTGGCCCAAGGGCTCCCTTTTATACTAAAACTGGGGTTGTGACCCTTTAACAAGGGGAGATAATTAGGAAAATAGAAACAAAAGTACTGGTTGCTAAAAAATCTTCTTCTCAAGAACCACTGGGCAGATTATCACCAAACTTACACAAAAGGATGAGAATATGTTGTAGATTAAAATTTGCACGGGGATTTACCCTGGGGCAAAGGGCGTGGTCTCAAGGTCACTTCAAAGTTGACCAAAAATTACATTTTATTAAAATGTTGATATTTTGCTTACTATAAGGACTAGGATCATCAAATCTTGTCAGTTGGTGCATCTAAGGACCTCATATCATGTTGACTCAAAAGTAGGTCACGGTGACCTACTTTTTAAATTTTGCGGCCATTCTTTTTCAAAATGATTTAGAGGCATATTTTGAACAATTTAAGGCCTATGATCATCAAACTTTGTCAGTTGATGCATCTTGGGTCCTCAAAGTACGTCAACTAAAAAGTAGGTCACCTTGACCTACTTTTTGAATTTAATGGCTAATCTTTTTTAAAACAATTGAGGTCATTAATTCGAATACGGGGAGGCTTTGAATCATTAAATCTTGTAAGATGATGCATCTTGGGGCCAAAAAACATAATTATTAATAAGTAGGTCACAGTGACCTACTTTTTGAACTTTGCAGGCATTCGATTTCAAAGCATTTTAGAGGCATAATTTGGACATTTTAAGTCCTATGATCATAAAACTTTGTAAGTTGATGCATCTTGGGTCCTCAAAAAAGGTCAACTGAAAAGTAGGTCACCGTGACCTACTTTTCAATTTATATGACTATAATTAAATATTTCAGGTACTAATTGGCTTAGAATCATCAAACTTTGTCAGTTGATGCATCTTGGGTCTTGGGGGAAGGTCGACTAAAAAGTAGGTCACAGTGACCTACTTTTGAAAATTTATGGCGTTAATTAAATATTTCGGATACTAATTGGCTTAGAATCATCAAACTTTGTCAGTTGATGCATCTTGGGTCTTCAGAGTAGATTGACTAAAAAGTAGGTCACCGTGACCTACTTTCGGAAAATTTATGGCTTTAATAAAATATTTCGGGTACTAATTGGCTTAGAATCATAAAACTTTGTCAGTTTATGCGTCATGGGTCCTCGGAGTACAACAACTGAAAAGTAGGTCACGGTGACCTACTTTTGAAAATTTATGGTTTTAATCAAATATTTCGGGTACTAATTGGCTTAGAATCATTAAACTTTGTCAGTTGATGCATCTTGGGTCCTCGGAGTACAACAACTGAAAAGTAGGTCACGGTGACCTACTTTTAAAATTTTATGGCTGTATTTAATATTTTCAGGAATTATTTGGCTTAGAATCGTCAAAATTTGTCAGTTGATGCATCTTTGGTCCTCGGAGTAGGTTGACTGAAAAGTAGGTCACTGTGACCTACTTTTGAAAATTTATGGCTGTAATTAAATATTTTGGGTACTTATTGGCTAGAATCATCAAACTTTGTCAGTCGATGTATCTTTGGTCCTCGGAGTACAGCAACTGAAAAGTAAGTCATGGTGACCTACTTTTGAAAATTTATGGCTTTAATTAAATATTACAGGTACTAATTGGCTTAGAATCATCAAACTTTGTCAGTTGATGCATCTTGGGTCCTTGGAGTAAAACAATTGAAAAGTAGGTCACTTTGACCTACTTATAAAATTTTATGATTATAATTTTAAAAAATATTTTAGGTATTAATTGGCTTAGAATCATCAAACTGAGTTGATGGGTCCTCAGAGAATGACAAGTGATAAGTAGGTCACCATGAGCAACTCTCAGGTACTAATTGGCTTAGAATCATCTTGGGTTCTCAGAGTGTGAATTGGAATTTCAAGGGTTTATGTAAATATACAGGATACTTCGAGGCTTCAAATAGAAGTGATAGGTTGTACAGTTAATCAGAAGAGCGATTCAAGGCCCATGGGCCTCTTGTATTGGTGGAGTATACTCATATTCAAACTGTTTATTGTCCACCAAAAGCCATTTGCAGGTGTCAAAGACTTCATTTATTTTAAGGGGCAGAATATGGCAATCCTAAAATAAATATAATCAAAAGAATCAGTTGTCTTTTCTGTGTATTATACTTTTTATACAACCATTATACATTTTTGTTGTAACTGTAAAGACGAAACTTCTTTGATTTGACTCTCTGCGAAAATTGAATGGCATCTTTAATATCTAATTAATTTGTATGTTTGTTGATAGTGATGACTCTAACCTGGACTTTGGGACCATCATTTGTGCCCTGGGGGTGAGGTACAAGTCTTATTGTGCTAACATAGTACGAACACTGATGGTGGACCCCTCAGACAAACAGCAGAAGGACTACGACTTCCTCCTGAAAGTTGAGGAGGAGATTCTGAACAAACTACAGGATGGTACGGAAACTACTACCCAGGAAGTTACTATTTTGTTGATGGTGCTAATGATGTGTTAATGTTGTCTTTACAAATTTCTACAGGTCTATTTATATGTTAACCTATATTTTGCAGGAACCAAGCTAAGTGAAGTTTATGAGGGTGTCGTGTCGTTTGTGAAGAAGCAGCGTTCGGATCTGGAGAGTAAGATGACCAAGTCTCTGGGATTCGCCATGGGGATTGAGTTTAGGGAGGGCTCACTACTGATTTCAGCCAAGACCAGCGCCAAAGTTAAGAAAGGTAGGAAATGACCTAATTGCGACAGTTACTGATTTATCAATTTCACCAGTGAATCGAGTAACAAGTATTTATTTTTGTGCAGAATATTCCATTTTATTTCTGACAAGAAAGAAGAATCTTTTTTTGTGCCATGGAAAGTTTTGTTTATTGTGCTACTTCAGGAAAAATTATCAAGTATTAAAGTATTTACATATATTATTTAACTGATTGCAGGAATGACTTTCAATATCAATGTTGGATTTGGTGATCTGGAGCATGAAGGCAAGAAGTATGCTCTCTTTTTGGGTGACACAGTCCTTGTGAATGAGGTGTGTACAAGAGCTAGTTACGTCTCTTAGAATATTTGTACATAATCATAATGCATGGAAGAAAGTTATAGAGAAAAAGAATAGTGCTATTTCAGAATTAAGTCTGACTGAAGTGAAATGGGAAGACTGAATGTAGGTGTGAATAGAGAATTATTGTTTAATTGTTTATCAGGGCTCTCCAGCTTCACTGTTAACAACCAAACAGAAGAAGATCAAGCATGTGTGCATCTTCCTTAAAGACCCAGACGAGGTGGAGGAAGAGGAGGAGAAGGAGGAGGCACCTGTCCTATTGGGGAGGGGACAAAGGAATGCCCTCGTGGACAGTCGAACCAGGGTAAGTTACACCTGTCCTTCTCATGAGAATACAAAGGAACGCCCTTATGGACAGTCGAACCAGGGTAAGATACACTTGTCTTCCTCGGGAGAGGACAAAGAAAAGTTGAACCAGGGTAATATGCACCTGTCCTTCTAGGGAGCGGACAAAGGAATGCCCTCATGGACAGTCAAAGCAGGGTAAGATATGCCTGTCCTCCTTGGGAAAGGACAAAGGAATGTTGAACCAGGGTAATATGCAACTTGTCCTCCTGGGGAGGGGACAAAGGAATGCCCCCGTGTACACGGTAAGATGCACCTGTCTTTTTAGGGAGGGGCCAAAGGAATGCCCTTGTGGACAGTTGAACCAGGGTAAGATAAATCTTACTTTCTGGGTAGAGGATAAAGGAATGTGTTTTCAAATGTAAATTCAAGGTAAGGTTACATAATTCTGATATAATTCACCATTAGAGAGTTCAGACTAAATACCTAGGAGTAAATTGTTAAAATTGGTCAAAATGTTGGATAGCTTGGAAATTGAGTATGAATCAACAAATGTAATGGTTTTGCCATTGTTAACCAAATTTTAGTGGAAAGAATCAAAAACAAAAATCTTCGAGATCAACAGTTGGATTGCCTGTTTTAAAATTGTAGAACCTAATGATATACTTTTATTTTATGTAAATTTCAGACTGAAATGACTTCAGAAGAAAAAAGACAGGAACATCAAAAAGAACTGGCAAGTAAAATCAATGAAGATGCCCGAGAGAGACTGAAAGGACTCAAGGGAGATAATGAGGAAAAAAAGTAAAAGGATTTTTCTGTTTTCTCTATAATAGAAGGTCTCAGTTTAATTGTACGATTGAGCCATGTTTTTAGATTGAATGTTTCTTAAAAAAAATCGTGTAATTTAATGTAGAGTAAAAATAACTGATGGGGAAGGGAAGTTAACAGAGAGACTTTGTTTTTGTAGAGTAAGGAAGTCTGTTGTTTCTTATTCATCAACATCAAAGATGCCCCAGGAGACTGAGATACGAAATCTACAGCTGTATGTTGGTGAGTTTAGAAAAAGATATACAATATACAATCACTTTGAATACCAGCTATATCTCACAGAATTTTATATCTATGTTAACCTTATCTTTCAGATCGTAAATATGAAACAGTAATTTTGCCCATATTTGGAACCCCCACTCCATTTCACATTGCAACAATTAAGGTAGGGAGACGTATGTGTGATTCGCTCCCAATTCACTGATAATTTGTTTAACTCTTTGTACTGTGTTTTTGTATTTCACAATTTTGATTGAACTCCTTTTTATAGAACATAAGCCAGTCAGTAGAGGGGGATTACACGTACCTACGTATCAACTTCTTTCACCCTGGGTCTTCTCTGGGACGGAATGAAGGCACTAGCTTCCCACAACCTGATGCCACATTCCTGAAGGAAATGTAAGATCTCGGCATATTTTACACAAGAGAGTTTATTTATTATTTCTATGTGTGTCTCTAAATATTAGCTTAAAAAAAATTACAATTTCCTGATTCTTAAGTGTTGACATATACAGTAGATTTGAGATATGAAATTAATACTTTGTTATTCTAACTCATCAAGATTGACTTTCTGCGCTAGTCAATTTTTTTTCTTTGGATGTGTCATTTGCCAATGGATATTGTATATCTGAATGACAACTGTGCAAGAGAGAAAAGCCTTTGAAGAATTGGTTTACATTAGTCAGATAACAAATGTCTATAGAAATTTGAATCAAGATGCATTTTTTTATTTTTTTTAGTTAAGATCATAATTTCTTTTTGCCAATAGAACTTACAGAAGTTCCAATACAAAAGAGCCTGGGGAGTTATCTGCCCCATCCTCTAACTTGAACACAGCCTACAGACTGATCAAAGAGGTCCAGAAAAAGTTCAAGACTCGAGAAGCAGAGGAAAGAGAAAAAGAGGTGAGGATATTTAATTGTATGTAATGTTAAATAAATCAGCTGTTACAAGGCAACACAGTTATACATGTACCACTTAAGTTGTATAGTGTTTAAATAACATGAAACTTGGATCACATTTTGATTAAACGGAATGATTTGTTATATGAATATTTGTTTTGGTTGTGTAGGGCATTGTTAAACAAGACACACTGATAGTAAATCCAAACAGAGGAAACCCCAAACTGAAGGACCTCTACATTCGACCAAACATTGTGTCAAAGAGAATATCAGGAACTCTGGAGGCACACACCAATGGTGAGACTAATAAGAAAGCTTCATACAGGCAATATTCTCTACTGAACATGAAATACATTGGTTTATGTCGATGAATACAAGCAAAATGCTGAAATACTGTATTGTTAATAAATGTCAAAGGTGTACATCTTGGTTATACAATGTATATGAACATGTGTCATTAGAAAAATGAGTTTTTGGTGGAAATTCAAGCGGTAATTGAAAAGAATAGAAATTCTGAAAAGAACTATTATGATGGTTGTATTAGCTGTATTTCTGTCCTACTCATTGGTTTTTGTTTACTTCTTTAGTTAAAGGGACAGTTGAAACCTTAGAAATATTGATTTTGGATAATTCATTTTGACAAATTATACTGATTCCAATACAAATTATATTTAATGTGTATCACTTGTTATCTTAAGTTAGTTTTGAAGTATGCTTCCTTTACACAATATCCCTGTCATGTTGTACGAGTCTTTAGATTTGTGCTTGGTATTATTAACTGTTTGTATGAATATGCACAGGTTTCCGTTTCACCTCCATCACAATATCTCTGTCATGTTGTACAAGGCTTTAGTGTTTGTGCTTGCTATTATTAACTGTTTGTTTGAACATCCACAGGTTTCCATTTCACCTCCATCACAATATCTCTGTCATGTTGTACAAGGCTTTAGTGTTTGTGCTTGCTATTATTAACTGTTTGTATGAACATCCACAGGTTTCCATTTCACCTCCATCACAGTATCTCTGTCATGTTGTACAAGGCTTTAGTGTTTGTGCTTGCTATTATTAACTGTTTGTATGAACATCCACAGGTTTCCGTTTCACCTCCATCACAATATCTCTGTCATGTTGTACAAGGCTTTAGTGTTTGTGCTTGCTATTATTAACTGTTTGTATGAACATACACAGGTTTCCGTTTTACCTCCATCAGAGGAGACAAGGTTGATATTCTGTACAACAACATCAAAAATGCCTTCTTCCAACCGTGTGACGGGGAAATGGTCATCCTTCTACACTTTCATCTCAAGGTCAGTGTAGAAGTCGTACATGTTGGAAATGCATGTAGTTTTGTTTTTGTAGAGGCATTAAAAAAAGCATTTGCACTGCAAAAATATGTCAACTTAAAATCGTGGAACATACAGTGTATGCAAATATTTTGGAATGTTCAAAGTTTCAAACTGAAAACAAAGAAAAAAATATCTCTACAAATACATGTAAATGCAGAATTGTGATGTATTTTGTAGCATGCCATTCTGTTTGGAAAGAAGAAACATGTTGATGTGCAGTTTTATACTGAAGTGGGAGAGGTCACGACAGATTTAGGGAAGCACCAGCACATGCATGATAGGGATGATCTTCATGCTGAACAGGTGTAGTTCTCAGCCAAAAAAAATGTTCATCACAATGGCTTATACTGCAGAAATTGTTTTGATGTAAAATAACAACAATGTACATGCAAACCAAAAAAAAAATTGTCCATTAATTATCCATTAAAATTTATTAGTAAACTTGATATGCCTATGATATTATTTAAAGCATAAGTTGCATCCTTTTCATGAGAATTTTGCATTGCAGTGTATAATCTGAATAAATATATTTTCAGGCTGAACGAGAGCTGAGACAAAAACTGAAGGCCGCCTTCAAGGGATTCTGTGAAAAAGTTGAGGCTATTACAAAAGGAGAAGTAGAGTTTGACTCCCCATTCCGAGAGCTCGGATTTTATGGAGCTCCATTCAGGAGTACAGTATTGTTGCAACCAACCAGTGGCTGCCTGGTCAACCTTACAGAATGGGTATCAATATCCTTATTTTCTTGTTGGTTTAATTTTCTAATTTGAAAACCTTGATTATCTTGAATAATTCTGTGGTATCAGATAAAAATAGCAGTGATGTAATACAATGTGTATTTTGACTGTGTTTTAACTTGTACACAGTTGCTGCAGAGTATTTGATGATTCAATTTATTCTTATAGCCTCCGTTTGTTGTGTCACTTGATGAAGTTGAGCTGATCCACTTTGAGCGAGTTCAGTTCCAGTTGAAGAACTTTGATATGGTGTTCGTGTTTAAAGATTACAGCAAGAAAACAGCCATGATTAACTCAATACCAATGAACATGTTAGACCATGTTAAAGATTGGCTAAAGTAAGTTTTCTTGAAAAACATGCTGCTGTCAAATAACAGGTCTGTCCCAATGTGAATAAATATTTTCTTTTTGTTAGTACTGTATATTAAGGCATGCTGTTAATTACTTAAATTAATAGCATAGTTATAGGTTTTTTTCCCCTCACATACCGGGATTATGTGTTGTTGATATTGAGTAAAACATGTATAAAGTTGTAACTATGTTGGTATGTGTGGGATACTTACACAAAAGCTTTCTTATTGTGTTCTTAGCATAAATACTACCCAACGTGTAAATTTCCATGTCTACAGTAGTTTGTTAATGTTGTTTCAACAGGCATTATCATTATTAGGAAGTGTTAAAACAAAATAAATCTGTCAACAATATTTGAAGAAATTACTAGTAAATTTTTTGGGGGGAGGGGGATTTCAGATCTGATGGTGATGAGAATGTAGGGGAAAAACATCTTTATTGAGAAGCAAAAATCTATGTAAGTAAAAGAGCTCAGGTAGGATTTTTTTCCTTCAGTTCTTGTGAAGTCCATTACACAGAGGGCATACAGAGCTTGAACTGGGCCAAAATTATGAAGACCATCACTGATGACCCAGAGGGATTCTTTGACAATGGAGGGTGGTCATTTTTAGAGCCTGAGAGTGCAGTAAGTTTATAGATTAGAGATAGAACTTTTCACAGGTTGAAGTCGTCAAACTCACAAGATTTTAAAACACCATGGATTTTAACTACTTTATTTACTTCAGTTACAGTTTGCATTAGATAAAAAAAATTTTATTAATATTTGTCAGAAATTCCTCTTTATACAGTGTTTAATTTGTATATTATTGTTATACAGTGTGTAATTTGTATATTGTTAGTGATTGTCAGGATGAAGATGTTGAATGTTTTATTTTATTTGTATGAAATATGGAGATAACGAACAGTATTCAAGCTCAAAGTCCATTAAAACTATACAAATCAGGAGCAGAGCAAAATCAGACCTCCAAAAACGGGGTGGGATCAGGTGCCATGGAGGAGTGAGCATCCCCTGCCCACAGGTCACACCCGCTGTGTGCTCCTTGTCACGATCGGTAAATAACGGAAAAAATCTGTCGACAATTCAGTGTGTAAATAATGGCCTAACAATTAGTATGAAAAACGTCAGTCAGCATATGACTTAATTATGGATTGTATTTGCTGACAAGGTCATTGTATCAACCATAGAACTTGCAAAATGATAACTTTAAATGAGACTGTTGATATTCTTGTTTCATCAACTCGTTTGTCAATAACTTACCTTTTAAGTAGCTCTTGCGTATCGAATCAACTGAGAGATATACACCCCATGTGAGGTGATGAAGGTTTATTGCTGCATAAGTAAGGGAAGTTGACGATTGAAAAGTTAAAGTCATCAAGTTTATCATAAAGCTTGGTTGTTAGATTACCATTAACGTCTTTTTCTAGTAAAATATCCAAATATGAAACGGATGTGTCAGACTCTGTGGTATCTTTTATTTCAAGCTCACTGGGATATTCATGTCGACATATGAATGGAAATAACTATTGTTAATTGATAATAACGTTGTCGATAAATCTAAATGTCGAGTTGAAGGCCACAGCAAGAGACTTCTTTTTCCCATGTAATCAATTCAATCAATTCTGCTTCATATGAATACAAAAATAGGTCTGCTAACAGGGGCGCAATTGTTTGTTTTTGTCAGGATGAGGCTGAAGATGATGAGGATGATGAAGATGATGAGGCGTACACTCCCTCCGAGGCGGACAGCGAGGAGGGAGACTCCAGTGATTACAGCGAGGAGAGTGATTGGTCAGGAGAAGCTGAGGACTCCTCAGGTAAAACCAACACTTGGACTGGTCACTGTTTGCCATATACTTGTTCTGGTCACTGTTTGCCACATACATGTACCTATATGTGAACTCTTGTATCAGCTTAAAATTTGGTTGCTTTCCTAATGGAATGCTTTAAAATAGAGTAAAAAACAGTTACAATGAACACACAAAAGGAATTTGCATTTACTGCAAAGAGATTTTTCTCGCTTTAGTTTTAAAATGTATTATGAACTTGACAGATAAATTATATAAATAAAGGGGGGGGGGGTTAAAAACCCTGGTATGACTCACTCATTTCTGATATAATGGTCTGTTTGTGTGTCTTCTACAGAGGAGGAACTTGGCTCCAGTGAAGAGAGCGGTAAAGATTGGGACGAACTGGAGGAGGAGGCTAGGAGAGGTCAGTTATTACTATAGAACAGCTTGGTTTTTCTAGCGTATTCTTAATACGTAGATTTTATATGTTGCTGCCCTATGAGATTGATAGTTCATTTCATACCTCCTATATGGAAGATGTTTTTCATATGTTCATTTTTCCCTTCAATTGAGACTTTAGTCCTAAATTTTGAACTGAAGAAGACAAAAGCCTTCATAATGTACCTATTGACTTGGGGGTCAAGGCCAAAGTGTTATTTCATGGTCATATATCGAATGCTTTGGTCATAATACTTTTATTATATATCAAATAAAAAGAAAATACTGAGAAAAGAAGTCTCATTGAACTGTTCATAAATTTTTGCTTATGCTGCTTAAATGTATAATATTAAATTTTGTACAATCACAGCTGATGCTGAGGCCAACTTTGACGTAATTGATGACAGAAAATCGTCATCTCACCATAAACACTCATCTTCCTCTAAACACCACAAGTCGTCCCACAAGTCTTCTTCTAAGTCGGCACACAAGTCACCACATAAATCACCTCATAAATCACCACATAAGTCATCTCACAGGTCAGACCACAAACGCAAACGAGAGGAAAGTGGAGACCGCCACAAGGACAAAAAGAGGAGAAGATAAGAGCTTTGTCGTCTCATGAGATCTAGCTCGTGAAACAAGAAGACGAGATCTGGGATTTGTTAGGCTCACAAGGTCACAAAAGTGGGATACTCTACAAAATAGACAAGTTTCCCTGAAGTGCTAAATAGTGTACTGTGTATTTAGTTCTTTGTTTTGTGTTAAAAAAAAAACTTAAATACATGTATCTTGTACATATTGTAAAAATTGGATGCTTTGAAATATACGTGTATGTCTATGGAAGACCATGATATACAACATATTAAGGTAAAGTTACATTTCAAAATCTGTGTAATGTGTTTAATAAGTGTCTGTAAATTTTCATTGTACAAGAGATGAAGGGAAAAAAATTGCTTTAACATACAAAAATGAAAAGAATCATGAGGAACCTTCTGTAAAAAGTTTTTATTTACAAATTGAAGTAAATAAAATTTTATTTAAACATATGCATGTATGTCGTGTGCTGGTTTCAAAAGTAAAGCAGTGTTACACTATTGAAGAAATTGGATCATAGATATATTTTAAGGGCCTAGTGCACTGGGTACTTGTATACTGGGTACGCATACTCCAAGGAGCCAACTCTTTAAAGTTAAGGATGTAAACTGCTTTACAGTTGATTTCTACACGCTGATCAGCAAAAGGTTTCTGTCCAATATAAACAGAATCCTTGTTAGTACCTGGCAGATTTTGCAGACATATGGCTGTAACGAGTGGACAGGTTCACATTCTCTTCTGCCATATATTTAACAAATTTTTCAGGGATTCTTTTCTTGATAGTCATCAAACTTTAAACACAGATTGGGCTTGATTAGTGGTGACTCGCTTAATTTTAGGAGAAAGTTCACCATGTTTTCTACTGTTTTATTAAATGTTGGTCAACCAACATGTAAAAAAAGCTTTCATCGAGGGTAATAAGACATTAAAGCTGAACAGGATTTGTAAATGAAAGAATGTCATCTTTGTCTGCCATATTTATCTTCTCAAAACTGTCCTCCTCCAGCCCCTATATATGCATCAGCTGTTTTCAGAGTTCAAATATATTTCGCTTCACAGACTTCAACTGAAAGGATGTCTCCTTCATTGTTATTGTGACACATCTGGGCGGCTCGACAAAAACGACTTATTTAGGCCAGGGAAAAAAAAGTTACCACATATTTTCGATCCAATTGCTCAGGTCAATGTTAAAAGAACAAACACAGAAATAAAATGTAAAGAAAAAGGACAACAAAGACAAGCAGCAGCGATGAAAAAAAAGCAATCGGGTTTAACAACTGCGAAGGGTTTATATACCCAAGTATTGATATAGGAGATAGGAAAATATGGCATACGCTTATTAAAGCTGAACATGATTTGTAAAAGGAATTTGTCCCCCATATTCCTTTATTCTGTCGTTATATCTGAGGCCCATATATACATGTAACCCGTTCACTTAGTCACGGTTCAGTGTAATTAATTTTCACCTGTGTAGATGGACGTATGCTACATACATATATACCGGTAGATATTGTGAAACTCGGTAGTGACAAAAGTAATTGTTTATTCCATGACAGGAGAGAGAGAGAGAGAGAGAGAGAGATTCTGAGAACCCTGCGGACAGTTGAGGTAAACAAGTGATTGGAAGAAATCCAAACAATTGTCTCTTTAAGAACCATCTTAACACCGCACACTAAAGAATTCTAATTCCATGGTTTTTTATGCAATTGGAGTTATCTGCCTTTAGATCTAAAATGAAAAAAAATAAATTGAAATCAACAGTGTATCAATCTTTCATCAGATCAAGCATTCTTTAAATTTTATTAGGCCAAGATAAATTAATTAAACACTTTAATGCATAATTAAACACTTTAATGCATACATTTTCTCACTGAAGAAAGCAGCAATGATTTCTGATCCTCAATACTCTGTTGTCTTTGAATATTTTTATGGAGTTAAATGGAAGGTGACCTAGGTTGAAAATGGAAAAGATAATCTCAGTATTTACACCTTTACACAGTTTATTTCTCAATGTCCAAAAATATTTTTGTTAGTGAATTAGAGGGTCCTTAAACGGATTTTCAATGTAAAACAGATTAATTTTTCCTAGGGAAAAGCAAGGGTACATCTTTTCTTAAACCTCGGATAAATCCATTCTCAATTTTTTGATTTTTTTGTTTTTGGACAGACAGACATGGATGGGAAGATATAACGTGCATGCTTCCAATTCTTTAAATTGTGAAAATATTTTTTGTAGCGTATTAATTCACTTTGTGTCTCTGCTTTAATTAAAAATACTGTAGTGGGAATATATCTGTAATGAACAGAACGAAGGCGTATGGATTAAAATCATCTGTCTAGGGAACAAAAAGAAAATGTTGATTTTATGTAAAAGAAATGATTTCATTAAACATTTTATTAAATGTTTACATTGAGTTATTGTTTGGTTTAAAGTGAAGACATTATTTTGTATTCTGTCATATTGTAATTTTTGAATTTACCGGGTGGTAGTAAATACAAAAATTACAATATGACAACTGTTGTCATATTGTAATTTTTGTATTTAGTACCACCCGGTAAATACAAAAATTACAATATGACAATTGTATTCAAAAGACAACTGAAATTAATTCTAACACGCTTATGCTTTATAAAAGATTGAAGCCATCTCGTGTCTATTTTTTATGGTTTATTTTGCTGAATCATTTAATTATTAATGGGAAGACAGTGTGGCACTAATAGGAGTGGAGATTTCAATCCAGCACGGTGAAACTCGAGTACACCTTATGTAGACTAAAGCAAAAAAAAGACTAACATAAAAAAATCAACATCTAGATTGAATATATTGTTTTTCCTATTTCTCCCCTTTTTATTAATAAAACAAAATTTCTTATAAGAGATAAATGTACCCATGTTTGTTATTTTAATTAATGTTTTGAATGTGTGACCTCATGAATGTCTTTTTGGTTGACGTGTCTAGTAATGGAAGAAGGCATGATTTGTCAGATATTCTGAATTATATTTTGTATTGAAATAAATGCAGACTTTCATGCCAAATCCACTGGAATGCTGAACATCTACATACGATAACAATGAACTCATTAAAAGGTATCATTTATCATCTTCCTTTCCAAGGCAATGCCTTTTTACCAATGTATACTAATCAGCCCTATATAATTACTTTCCATTTATTTTGTGACGACTTGAGCAGAATAGTTTATCTCCCTGGTTATTAGTCTGATACTTCTCTTGTTTATTACTCTGAATGAAACCAGTGGGAATTTTAGCTTTGTAAAGTCATTTCGATGAAACGATTGTCTAGAATCATATAGGATACATGATAATATGATAATAAAGAAATATGATTCTGAAAATGCAATTAACTAGATACTTTCATACAAACTAATTCTTTGATAAGCAGAGTTGAGATGAGATGAGAGAAGACGTTCGAGATGATCTAGTATTGTAGCAATAATACTGTACCGTTCACTGAGTTACAAGTTAGCATTGTACCGGTATTGAACCATTTGTTGAACTAGTATTTGAAATCAGTACTGTATTAGTTCACAGTATCCGGGTCCAGTATAGTACCAGTTCACTGTGATTTATGCCAGTTTTTTTTTTTTTACCAATTTACTGTGTCACTGCGTCAGTGCTCATTAGTTTTCGTCACTGGTTTGTATTATGCCATTTCACAAGCCACAGATAAGTCTTCTAGCACGTCATCGTGTCACAGGTCAATAAGTCATTTTATTATTTTTCTCTATTGTTACCTGCTATCTGATTGGTTCAATCTAGATCACGTGATCAAGTATAAAAAGTCATAACCTGGGTGTTTCTATTTTAAGCTTCTAAAAAATGTATAAACATGTTGTTTCTAAAATTGGGAACGTTCTTCTGTGAAGCAACACAGACGTGCTGACGTCACAATAGTCTTCATAAACTGGATATTTCTAAAAACAGATACTGCAGCTGATACAATCCCTAGATATAAAGACCTTAAAAAGAAGCATATCGACCTCGCACTTCGTGCTCGGTCGATATGCTTTCTCTAAGGTCTATATATTTAGGGATTGACCTCATCAAAAGGCTATAATTGTATATTATTATTTTTCTCTATTGTTGCCAGCTATCTGATTGGCTCAAACTAGATCACACGATCAATTATGAAAAGTCTTATAAACTGGGTGTTTCTATTTTAAGCTTCTAAAAAAAATTATAAACCTGAGGCCTGTTCAACAGAGCGAACGTTCGCGAGCGCTCGCGAACATTTCTGTTGGAAAGATAAGGAATTTTGGCGAGCGCTCGCGAACGTTCGCTCTGTTGAACAGGCCTCTGCTGTTTCTAAAATTGGAAACGTTCTTCTGTGAAGCAACAATAGCTCTGACGTCACAGTAGTCTTTATAAATTTGATATTTCTAAACGCAGATACTGCAGCTGCTCTTAATTGTGACGTCATAATGCGAATGATATAGAAATGACTTATATGAGAAAGTATTGAGCGTTAGAAACATGGAATTTAAGACATTTCTAATTTACTGACCAAAAAAAAAAAAAAAAAAAAACAATTGTAGCCTTCTGATTTCGTACAATCCCTAGATTTATAGACTATAGAGAAAGCATATCGACCTCGCACTTCGTGCTCGGTCGATATTCTTTCTCTAAGGTCTATCGAGAGATTGACCTCATCAAAAGGCTATAATTGTATATATAAAATACATGGCTACTGTCTTGAAATATAAGCGATATTTGGGCGAGGGTAAGAAAACGTGATGGAGGGCGAGGCTTGCCGAGCCCTCCTTCACGTTTTCGACCCGAGCCCAAATTTCGCTTATATTTCAAGACAGTCATCATGTATTTTGTTTATCCTGTAACATATTTTTACATTTGACGTCCCAAAGGAGCTATTTTCAACAGATTTAGGCACATCTCTGCAGTTGAAACTAGGACGCCACGGCGTAAACATTGCAATGTGTGTGACGTCACAATGCTTTTAGAACGTCGGAATACATGCACGAGGCTTTATTAGGGCATTGACCGAATAAAGCTTTGGTTTATTAGGTTACCTTTATTAGGTCAATGCAAGGGGTAGTTGCAGGATAAAATACTTTCTCATATAAGGCATCGTTATGTCATTGGCATTATGACGTCACAGTAACGAATAACAGCTGCAGTATCTGTTTTTATTATTATTATTCTATTGTTGCCAGCTATCTGACTGGCTCAAACTAGATCACGTAATCAAGTATAAAAAGTCTTATAAACTGGGTGTTTCTATTTTAAGCTTCTATAAACATTATAAACCTGCTGTTTCTAAAATTGGAAACGTTCTTCTGTGAAGCAACAATACCGCTTTCGTACAATAGTCTTTATAAACTGGATGTTTCTAAAAACAGATACTGCAGCTGCTCTTAATTGTGACGTCATAATGCGAATGACTTAACAATGACTTATATGAGAAAGTATTGAGCAT